CAGTCATGTTTCTTTTTCTTTTTTAAAGTAGGCTACACCCGCATAAGCTTCATAAAGTTATTGAACATTTTAAAGTCACCTAACACAGCATTTAAAACATCTGGCAATGACAAAGAGAACATAAATAACAAATTCCACCAAGTGTGTTCACTTTACATTTGTTGAAATGTAAAGTGAAAAATTGCTTGGCTCACAAAAACAAAAATGCCATTAAAATAAAATAGCAACCTGACACTGGCTCCTTGAAATAGAAAGGAGCTCAAGAAGTCAGCAGAATCAGTCGCGTGAATAGACCTACTGACTATAAATACACCCACACAGAGTTTAGTAGTTACTGCAGTCGTAAGCCTAACTGAATGCCTATTCTTCAACCTTTGTAGTCATACATCCAGCATTTAGGACTCAACCAGTTAACAGCCCTAACTTTCTGATTTACAAATATCTGCAACAATTGATTGTTGAAGGGAGACACCAGACTGCACACAGCACAAAACACTCACACATGTCAACATTGTAGATGGTGCCACTGACATTTTAGTTTTCCCTTTCGCCTCTCGTACAGGCTATAAATACACAGTCCTCATAGTCCTTCGTTACCGTCTCCTACTCAAACCCTCTTCCCTAAAAGCCATCGTAAGCGCGTCACTAACGTATAGGTGGCTTATCTCATTAGACAATATCATAAAAAGCCGGTTGTCAGAGTAACAGCTCCCTGCGTTTCCACGGCAACCAAGTCAAAGTGGCGGACTCGGCCTGTAAAGTGGGAGGAGACATTGCGGACCAATGGTGAGCAATGGAACGCCGTCAGTCCAAGAGCAGAACCAGCACAGTTGCAACACGCTGCCCCCCAGTGGTCACAATCCGGCGTTGCAGTGCAAACAATCCATTTATGCAGAGACTGAAACGTTTTTGGAGGATGTGCATCACTGAATCATGATGTGTGGGATTTGACCAAAAAGGGTGTGAATACGTAGCTGGGGGGCAGCTCGACCAATGTACAAGTGGGACCACTTGCTTAGGACTTAACATATTGTCTTGACTTGGTTTTGTCAAACTAAATTGACCTTTGGATTTGGCTAGAGCTAGAAAGACGTCAATGTCAGCTTCCCCAAAGTCCTTGAATGGCTGCAAAAAGTAGGCTCATAAAAACATCCATACATCCATCGAATTTTTAATCCGCTTATCTCGGAGTTTATCCCAGCTATTATTGGGCAGCAGGCGGGGTACACCCTAAACCAGTTGCCAGCCAATCCCAGTGTCAAATTGAGCGCTGCACCTTTGCACTGTGACGTGGGCATGCTAAATAGTTGACCACCATGCCTCTCCTCATAAAAACAAGGGCAAAAAAATTATTCAATGAAAAATTACTTACCTAATTTAAGCAAAATGATCTCTCAATAAATTGGGAAATTTTCACTCAGTTTTCCTAAAACAAATTAACTTAGCTGGTTCGAATAAGATGACGTCAGTGGACCATTTATTTATTTTTTTGGACTTGTTTGACTTGCAAGTACAAACCTGAGACATGAGCAATGTTTAGACAGGTGACTCAACAACAAGTTAATGAACTGATCATCACTCGCAGGGGACACATATTGAGACAAACGAAACAACCATTCACTCACATCCACACCGTCACTGAGTGGGAATCAATCTAACGCTGCACGCATACAAATCAGGCAAGTGGACCATCACACCATCAGCGACCTGTACACAGTAAGGAGTACCGGCACGTCACACATTTATCCTCTAGCGTACCAGGACTTGTTCTCTCTACGTTTTGGTAAGTTTATTTCCCGTATGCACCATCCTTGAGACACGTCAAGGAAGCTGCAAAATATATTGTAACGCTCTTCTGTGTGCTCAAGGATACTAACAGTCGCAAATGCAACCTGTTCGCTTTTTTTATGAAACAAAACGGCAACAAATAGGTCACATTCACACCAAAGCCGCTGATGGCCACAATTCATGCCCAAGCTCTCAACACTCAACTGTCCGAGCCAATCTTCCCCTCCTGGCTGGTCCCCTCTACTCAGGTGGCTCTGCCCTCACACACAAATAACAATGAACAGATATTACAATACTAAGAACGAAACAAGTCGCCAAAGCAGAGGCTTGCGCTGCAATCGATGAAGGTGGGAAGTCAGATTTAGAAATAGCGGCATATCTTCACGCTGCCAGAAAAAACATCTTGTGTTCAGTAAAGTTATGTCGAATAACTCAATTGATCTAATAAGAACTAAAGCTGAATATATGTTTATAATCTTGAAAAGTATGTTTTGCCATTCACGGTCTGTGTCTCCATGGTGTCGCCATTGTCGAGTAAGGTCACATTGAAGTCAGTCAGTGAACTTGGGTCCTTTTTTTTCAGCTTCGCAACCTCCCAGGTCAAAGGGGCGTCCTAATGCAATTTATCTATTCGGAAGTAGGAAAAGTATGCCTTCCCACCTTTCTCGAACTACAAAATATCCATCCGTTCATGATCTGATCTGCTTATCCTCACGAGGGGAGTGGTATTGGAGCGTATCCCAGCCGCCTTCGCCCAGTAGGCGGGATACACCCTGAAATGGTTGCCAGCCAATTGCGGGGCACAACCATTCACACTCACAATCACACCTATTGATCCATTTTCTCATCCGCATATCCTCACTATGGTCACGGGCGTGCTCGGGGCCTACCCCAGTTGTCTTCGGGCAGTAGGTGGGGCACACCCTGAACTGGTTGCCAGCCGATCGCAGGGCACACATCGACAACCAGCCATTCAAACTCACAATCACACCTAAGGACAATTTAGAGTTCCATTAACCTACCATGCATGTTTTTGTAATGTGGGCGGAAACTGGAGTACACTGAGAAAACCCACGAGGGCTCCACACAGGGACGCCGGAGCCAGATTCGAATAGCGACAGACTACACCGGCGTGCCGGCTGCATAACAAGATGACGAGGAATATAAATAAGACGGGTCGTCCAGATGCGTCAAAAAACGTCCTCTAGTGACACTTTGTAGTTTGACGAGCTCTTCATCACAATCCCATCGTAGTGACGACACAAGCAGGCACGTCTGGAGCATCGCACGAGTGAGAGTCCGTGTGTGTAGCGCCGCACACTTGCCCCGTCCGAAACCGCCGAGACTTCTGCAAGTAAAAAGGTATCCCCCCAACCCCCACTCGCTGTGGATCTGCTGTAGCTCGGGGCCATCAATGAGATTCTTCAGGCTTACCTTCAAGTGCTTCGTCGACGGCTTCTGAGTCTCCCCTCAGCCCGCGGACACAGCCCACCTGGTCCGAGCACTGGCTGCCTCCTTTTCACCGCTATTGGCTGAGCTCCCGTGTCACGTAATCATTTCATCCAGAAAACTGCGTGACTTTAATTTGAAGTGTTTCAAAAACTGTGGCAGTAATCAGGAAAGAAGATTCGTGAAAGAATTAAAGGTAAATATGGTGTTTGGTTTGACACAGCGCGGTTAGAAAGGAAAAAGCCCTCCCCCCCCAAAAAAAGTTCAGCACTCAAAATAAAATTACTGTTAAAAATATATAACTCAAGTAAACGATAAAAGCAGTCCTCCAAATAACTGCTTGATTTTAGAAAATGTATTAACTAATAAAAAAGAAAATAGCAGTGTTTTATAATGTCCCATCTTTCCCATCAGGTGAAAACTGCCTCTGGATGGAAGCGGGAGACTTGTCTGAGGGAGAGACTGGGGGGTCGATTCATTCCCTGGTGCCTGTGTCTGGAATGAGCCCAGGATGTGGTGAGGGTGAAAGTGCCGGTACGCCCCGGAGCCAGGGCAGTGCCTCCTCGGTACCAAAGCAGGCAGAGAGAGAAACCTGGACCAGACAGATGGACTTCATCATGTCCTGCGTGGGTTTTGCTGTAGGCTTGGGAAATGTGTGGCGCTTTCCTTACCTTTGCTACAAGAACGGAGGAGGTGAGCTTCACTACAAATTAAGAAAAAAATGTTGCTGGAGGAGGTGAGCTTCAATACAAATTAAAAAAATGTTGCGCAAAACAATGTGGGATGAAGTTTGATCTGAAATCTATGATGGTCCATCTTCGTCCAACTGAGTTGCTGCTATTTTACAATAGCTGTCTCGTCAACGTTGAACTTGAAGAGGTATGACATAATACAAAGTAAAAGGTGCTGTAATCTTTCAGAACTTGTTTGTTTTCAAATGTCAATAATTTGGCGACAACTTTTATTTACTTGCATGTGTTAATAAAATTGTTGAGTGATGTTCTTTCTGCCAACAATATAGCCATGCCCCTTCCCCCTCTTACCATGTCTTGGTGAGTTAGCAGAAGAACCGAACACAATTCGTCCATTCAAAATTGCACCTTCATTTCTAATAATGTTCAAAAACTGCGATCAATCAAGACCAAAATTTACTCAGGCCCTCTTCAACCTCAGAAAATATCACAACGATTCGCCGCACCATGGCTCACACATGAGAATGAGCATTTAGTTTCTGTCACACTGGAGCTGCTTTCTTTGATAAGTCCCAAAGACATGAAAAGATGAAGTCTTCATAGGTCATTGTGTATTCAATTTCAATCTGTAAGGGTTAGCTTGATTTAGCCTTCTCCGAAGTCCACCTCCAAAGGGCACGTCCCCCACCGCATATCCGAATATGACGCACGTTAAACGGCCACACTCGCTTGGAAGCTGGGCCGCCTGGCTGGAGCTTCGGTGCTCTGAATTTTTCCAAGACCATCCATTCATCTGTGCCTGATGTGTTTAACATCAGGTGAATGTGATTTGTAAATGCCAAACAAACACTGCCACATTCCATTTATAAGATGGTGCGCACACTCGAGCAATCACTTTATTTAATATTTTTTCAGTTGAGTTGTACTTGTCATAGCTCACATTCACGGAAACTCTTTTGTCAAAATGTATCTTCGTCTCATCTTTCTATATCACAAAAATGTGGCATTTGATGACTTTCCATGCACTACACAATGTGTGGATGTGACAACCTGTTGTGTTTCCTGTTGCAGGTGTGTTCCTCATCCCCTACTTGCTGATGGTGTTCATCGGGGGCATCCCCGTCTTCTTCCTGGAAATCGCTTTGGGGCAGTTCATGAAGCAGGGAGGTGTTTCCGCCTGGAACATTGCACCACTTTTCAAAGGTTACCGCTCAGTGTCAGACAGGAAGAGTACGCAGTTGATGTCACTTGATTCATTCACGTACCAAACTGTTCTCCCAACCAGGTCTGGGCTTGGCTTCAATGGTGATTGTGTTCTTCTGCAACACCTACTACATCATGATTCTGGTGTGGGGTCTCTACTTTCTCTGTCACTCGTTTACCAACCCGCTTCCTTGGGCCACCTGTGGCCACGCTTGGAACACCCCCAATTGCACAGTCAACTTCAGCCGCAACTGCCACAGCAACAGTGTTGACTCATCTGTTGCTCAAAACCTGTCCTCAAACTTGTCACTCCTTAACAGCTGCATGGAGACGGAAGGCATGCGCTCCCCAGTCCTGGAATTCTGGGAGTATGTCACATTTAGATTCATTAGCGTCGGTTGATATTCCAGCATCTCCAATCTCAAATTTTGATAATGCGATTCCACTTTTGTTCTTGCTCACAGACGTAAAGTTCTCCATCTGTCTAGCGGGCTCCATGAACCGGGTACTATCAACTACGAGGTGGCGCTATGCCTCCTTGCTACCTGGGTCATTGTTTACTTCTGCATATGGAAAGGAGTTAAAACCACAGGCAAGGTAGGTATCGCTTTGCTGTCCAAGTCATCAAATTGTTGCCAAGTTAGGCAGCATTTTTGGAGTAAGATTTTCATCTATGGAAATGCGTTAGATAAAATCAGGGACAATTTCAGAATTGTGGAATTAAGTAGGTAACTGCAGGCATATCATCATGTGTCCAGGTGGATGGGTACAGCAAAAAAACTTTTTCCCAAAATTTCCTCTGCATGCTGGCTATTTGGCACCCACAGATTTGCATATTCATGGCTTTTTCCATTTTTTATATAATTAATGTTTATAAATACATATTTTTGAAAATATTTTTGTTTTTTCTCCCTCCTTCCTGTTTTTTTTTGGGTGGCTAACACGTTAAATGTTCAGCGGTTTTTGAAGACATTTTGGAGGTTTTAAAAAAATATATATTCCTATGCATTTCAATGGTCCATATCCCCCATGAATAGTGGGGTACGAATTGGATTTTAATTTACATGCCATAATGTTGCACTTAAAAATTCCAGTGTATTATTCCTCAGTCCTCAACAATATTTTCCTCCTTCCTTTAGGTTGTATACTTCACGGCCCTGTTCCCATATGTTGTTCTGATTATTCTTTTGGGGCATGGTGTGACTCTACCTGGAGCAGTAGATGGGATAGAATACTACCTGAAACCAGATTGGTCCAAACTGGGAGAAGGACAGGTAGACTCCTACTGTACTTACATTACATTTGGCTGGTTAATGATAATGAATTTCCACCACAGCCTTGCAATTTAAAACATTGTTACTCTTTTGTGGTAGGTGTGGATTGATGCTGGTACCCAGATTTTCTTCTCATATGCTATCGGACTGGGTGCCCTGACTGCACTTGGCAGCTACAACCGCTTCTATTACAACTGTTACCAGTAAGTTTAAACACTGACACTGGAATGTCCACTGGCGCATTGTATTCTTCTCAGCTTGTGTTTTGCACTTGGGTTCTTCTCAGTCAAGCACTGAATAGAATACACTATAAGGTGGCGCAAGGCAAAAAGTAATGCAGTACTACATAGCCTAATGTCACTGTCAGGTGGAAACCTATGCCTAAATTTGGTTAATTTACATTTTTATAAATATATTCCATTGGTCAGTCCTAATATCGGTGTGCAACATTTTCAAAATTGAGCAACATTAAGTACTGTACTGAAAATGACTTGCTCTTGTAGGCCAGCGATTCCCAACCTTTACCGAGCCAAGGCACATATTTTAAGTTTGAAAAATCGCACGACACACAACCTGTCACGTTACGCACGAAGCAGGGAAAGAACCGCTTTGTGCGTAACAGAAAAAGGTGAGAATAAGTGGATCACCGAAATAGCAGACACTGACAAAGGACTCTGTCTCAAAAATAATATTTATTATCAACGAAAAACTCCGCCTAATGCGAAAACAGAAAACGCTGGTAATTAACGAGAACCAGGAAATAAAGAAAAACGCGACAACAGAAAGCGCTTGCAAAAAACGGCAAGGAAGAATATGTAGACAAATACTGGGTAAAGCACGTATTTAAAAATAGTCTTCAATAGGACTACAAAATGTAACAATCAGCGATAGTGTACGAGTACGTTTGAGTCAATGGGCAACAGCAGTGGCACGGCGTGCAATACTCCGGCAATGTGTTGAAACCGGAGTGCTTAGATATAGCAGGAGAGATTATTGGCAAATAGGCAGCAGGTGTGCAGACAGCAGAATGAACGCCTGCCACCTGCTGCCCAATACGGAACATGACACAACCAAACAAAAGTGTCACAAAAAGAGGATATATATGTTCATTTCATACTTCTTGCCATCTCATAGAAGATCATTTATTTGATCTTTTTGTCACTAAAGGTTCCTGGCAAATATAGTGGGACAAAGAATCGTTCTTTTTTTCTTCAATCATTTTCTCACCAATTAAGTGAAATGTGTTACTTTCCCAAGGCACACCGTTGGAGCTGTCACGGCACACTAATGGGCTCCGGCACACTAGTTGGGATTCACTGTCGTAGGCGATCCAATGTTTATGGCTCAATTGTGATGGCGAGGAGGTTTTGCAGTATTTTAGCCATTTGGTTCAAGCAATGGTTCATTTCTTGATGCTTCATGTGCACACAAAACCAACCTCCTCGCCATGCGTACAATTATAGGCAGCTGTAGCCACCTCGTACAATGTGTGATGCAAGATTATTTCCGCATCTATTTTGATTTATGGGCATGACGAATTACAAAAAATATATGAGGAAATAACCTCTCGACATAAAGTGTATAGGCCTTACAGGAGTGCCCAAAGACGGTTGTCAAGGGCCGCTATCCTGCCTGTTTTCCATCTCTCCCAGGAGCAACACACTGAATCAGGTGGGTTGCAGCTGGGAGAGCTGGAAAACAGGCAGGACAGAGGCCCTCCAGAGCTGGACATGCTTGGCCCTAACACGATGTATTTATTTTGGGTGAGTAAATGTTTCTCATCCTGTCACATGGTCCAGTACAATACAAGTTTATTTGTATAGCGCATTTCACAACAGCATTTTTTCCTTCCCCGTAAGGTGTTCCGTGGAATGCAAACACCTCACCATTGAGTAAAATAAACAATGAAAATTCACAAATAAAAACAAGACAGAACAAGGCTCAAGTTCACACCTCAATTGTCCACTGATTTTAAAGTTGCATGCTCATCCGCTATGCTAATCTAAACCCTGGTACGAACGCTGCAATCTTGCCTCTTTTGTAAGCATTCCCAGGAGTGTGTAGTGTAACCGAGCGTACATTGGCACAGTCAAACTATCTTGAACTAAATTAAAAGCTACCATAACACTTTCCAAACTACAATTATCTATCTAAACAATGAGCTGGCCAAGCTGGCCATGACTATTAACATGCACGCATGCACGCAGGCACGCACGCACACACACACACACACACACACACACACACACACACACACACACACACACACACACACACACACGTTTCAACTTTGATAAAATAAAATTAAAAAAAAAAACAATTGATGGCTTACCCTTGTCAAAGGGATTGGAAGCAGAGGCGCTCCCTCCCTTTACGTCGTTCCCTTCGTGTCTCTTCAGGTAGTTCTGCAGAGTAGATCTAAAACCAAAAGAGCAAGTCAAGTTCGCTTTCAGTGTATTCTTTCACATTGCAGGTCATCAAACGCCACGCCTACCAAATTTGCTAACAGTAATATAGGATCCTAGGGGCAAATTTGGTACATGCCTAAAAAAAAAAAAGAAAACTGATAGTTTTGGAGATGCAAGGATTTTGCCTGACCACATTTGGAATCCATCCCTTCTGTATTTCTAGGGATGCGTTTGTGCTGGCGGTCATTAACAGCGGAACCAGCTTCTTTGCAGGCTTTGTCGTGTTCTCTGTGTTGGGCTTCATGGCTGCAGAGCAAGGTGTGGACATCAGCAAGGTAGCTGAGAGTGGTAAGTTATACATCGTATACACTGAAAATGCGGGTTGAATATTCAGGGAATTGAATTAAATGCAGTTTACGTTGAACTGTTTGTTCCTGTGTAGGACCCGGCCTGGCATTTATAGCCTACCCCAAGGCCGTGACTTTGATGCCCTTCGCACCATTCTGGGCAGCGCTTTTCTTCTTTATGTTACTTGTACTTGGCCTAGACAGTCAGGTAAAATCAAATAATTGGGTTTGGACACTTGTTGGTCAGTCACAGCTTGGTGCCAAATGTAAAACTAAAACAGGTACATTTGTGTTATCTTTATTGGAAATGTTCAGAGAATTCAGATAATTCCTCACAAGAGTATCTTTGATTAATTTTAAATATGAAACATTTTGAAGAGTTTGCAGTCTTGAAGCTACCAGCAAAATTTGAATAAAGCCTCACTTCACTAGCCCCTTGCCCAAGTTCCCCGGGTCTGTCCAGAGGGAAACGCCTCAGCTCACTGTTGCGCATAGGTGGTGCCAGGCAATAAATTTACTAGCCTCACTTGTTCATGATGGCATATTGTCAAAATGAAATGTTATTGACCCGTTGCACGTGATCACGTGAGTGCACCATGAAGGACGGCAAAAGTTAATGACTGCCGAATCGAAGTGGGCGGAAAACAGCGATTTAGTAACTGTATACATTATTTTTGCCAATCTAGCATCGAACCCCCCAGCACCACTTCAACTGGTGCCTGCTGTGTTCACCGTTTTTGTCAAATTGCCATTGGACACAAATCTTGGAGTTTTGCAGCAAAATCTAGTTTTATTGGAATCAAGAAATCTTAATATGTTTCTTTAAGTTAAACCGAAGAGACAGTCCAGGTACATGTATGAATCCTAATAACTAAAAGACAAAGATTTGTCAAGAGGCTAAAATTTGCCACAGTTTGCTCATCAATAACTTGGAATCTGAACTGGAATGCCATTTTCTTTTCTGGTGAGCAACTTGCTCTCAATAAAGCTAACTACATTGCTTTAACTTAGACTTACAGCACATTTGTGTGTGTGTGTGTGAATATACGGTATACAGTAATCCCTCGTTTATCGCGGGGGCTACGTTCAAAAAAAACAGTGATAAGTGAAATCTGTGAAGAAGTGAACTTTATTTTTTTACAGTTATTATACAATACTTAACTATATATACAATGAAATCAAAGACCAAAACCTGTTTTCAGGCCCAATTACAACGAAAAACAAATGTTTTCAACAAATAACTGTAATAGTTTTTGGAAATACAGTGCTGTACTGTCAACACGCGGCGCAGCCAACGCATTCTGATTTAAAGGGTTAAAAGCATGAAAAAACTGTACAAAAAAAAATATATATATATATATATATATATATATATATATATATATGCCATTTCACACATCTTGCCATTGCCTCCTGCTCCTCCATACTTTTTCATTTCAGTTTGTTGGAGTAGAAGGTTTCATCACTGGAATCATGGACATGCTTCCTCCCAAGTCCGCCCTGGGCTTCTTTCGGAGAGAGGTGGTTGCTGCCATCTGCTGTGTCATCTGCCTCCTCATTGACATGTCCATGATCACGGAGGTACAATTTCCCCTTTTAAACCACCCCCCAGAGAATCATGGAAAATTTTGGACCTGAGAAATGAAGTTGCAGGTCAGAGTCAGAGGAAAATCATTGAGGAATGGTCATCTAAAGTGCCAAGTTTTTGAGAGTCGTGCTATTAGTCAGTATTGTGTTTGTGTGGCATTCTGGCCAAATATCGGCCATCATTCGCGTGTTCATGTTTTTTCTAAGGCTGTCGAAATCAACGCATTGTGGTGCGTTACCACAAATTCATGTTGACACTGATTATTTTTTTAACATGCGATCAACATACCGTACAACCCTTAGTTGGCTGTCTGGGAACTCTTTTCTGGTCGTGGATTCCAGTAAGTGTATGCATTAGCCTTGAGAACCACCACTGCATCCAATAAATGCAATTTTTCTAAAATGATGAAAGCTGCAGTGGAGGAGCTGTTGGGACTGACAAGCACGTTGGCTGCCACATGTTCGCTGCTTTGACAATGCAGTGCACTAGGCAGGCTAGCTCGACTGTCAGTGAGCAGTTATTACTTATCTGCCACTTAGCTGCTAGTTAGCAGAGAACCACTTAGATGACACAAGCATTGTAAATGTTCTGCAAGTAATCAAGTAGTAGGACATGGAAGGTGAGAAGCAGCAATATTGTAAGCCCATCTTGTCTCTTGGAGCGGACATACTTGAGCTTTAGTTGGAAGATGTATTTTATTCAGCAGCTCCAGAACATGGCTCATATTGGACGCTGTTGCACAAAAGGCTTTTCTTTTGTCGGACAATTGCATCACTTGCAAGTGTGCTTCAGTAAAGTACTTAACAAAATAAAAGCACACATAAGCACTGAGCAAAAGTGTTACTCTAACACAATGTTGCAGTGTTAAATATATTTGCATAAGGGATATAAATTTGTCAGTTTTCACGTTTACAACACTGTTAAAAGCATAAAACATTATTTTACAGTAAATGATAGATTTACAAAAGAAGTTTACAATATACAAAATGTGTGGTGAATTCATGATTAATTGCAAATTAACTATGGATGCGATTATTAATTGAGATCTTTTTTTGATCGACAGTCCTCTTTTTTAATACTTTTTTGTAAAGAACCTCTTTTACAGAATTACAAGCATACAGAATTACAAAAAGAAGGATCTAATTCAAATACGCCAGTTCGCCGTTTGCTAATATTCTCCATCGGAGCAGATGTTGGTTCCCAAAGGTAATATTACCTCAAAATTCTCAGTGCTCACTGATCTTGTTTCTGCCAGGGAGGGATGTATGTGTTCCAGTTGTTTGATAACTACTCTGCCAGCGGCATCACTCTGCTGTGGCAGGCGTTCTGGGAGTGTGTGGTGATTGCTTGGGTCTATGGTAAGTTTCACAGTAGATACATGTCACTTTAATTTGTCACTGACCACATTCATAGCTCAATACATGTGGATGTCAAATCCTCCACCTCCATTGAATTGAATGGAAATGCCATTAATGTCTTCTGCCCCCACACTCCATTCCCCTCCCTCCCCCAAAACCACCAACAAAATCTCTATTTTAATGAGGAAAAATACCATGTCACAATGTTGTCCTTTATAAAACAAACATACACTAGTACACGAATGATATTAAACAGAATTAAACTAAATTAAATGCTCCATCTGGTGTGCCCGCCTTGGCCATCCAGGTATGACAGACGTATATGCTGTTCAGTGAGGCGTTATTCCACTTGAGCTCAAGGCAGTCTTTGCTTCTTTGCAGCAGTCAGTCATATTGCCTGGGGCGTTTCCTGGCTCAAACTTGAGGGGAATTCATAATTATTTCTCAGCACTGCTGTGAGCTTGTCAGTACCGCACTAACATTAGTCATTCTATGAAGTGGATCTAAATTGAGTACTTTTGTATTGTCTGCCTACATTTTGTTGTTGCACCATCCTTCCACCCATAACACTTATTGGTACAGTGTGTTGAGTTAAGTGGACTGCCACCACAAAACGCTTGCATCATGTGACCTTTTGTCAGGCGCGGATCGTTTCATGGACGATGTGGCTCGTATGATCGGCTATCAGCCCCTTCCCTACATGAAGTGGTGCTGGTCCTACATCACGCCCCTTGTCTGCATGGTAAGCGGCATTTTGTATGGTTTCACATTTGGCATGTCCGTTGATAGCAAATTTGTGACATGTAATTGCGCTTGCAGGGAGTTTTCTTGTTCCATGTGATCAACTACAAGCCCCTAACCTACAACACTGTGTACACATACCCATGGTGGGGTGAACTCTTTGGATGGGCTTTGGCCCTTTCCTCCATGCTTTGTATCCCACTCACTGTTGTGTACAAGTTGCTGCGCGCCAACGGATCACCTCGAGAGGTCAGTTGGTCTGGTGCTCCATAAAGTTCTCTCTGATTTTCAGTTCATATACATAAAATGTATAGGAATGTGTCTACTTGGACATTTCCCTTTTTTCCTTTGCATCTTTTTGAGTACTCATTAGAGAGCCGTATAATGAGCCACTCACTATCCGTTTGGGTTTGCAGCGATGGAAACGCCTCATAACCCCACGATGGGGCAGACATCACCTGGAGTATCTTATTGCGGAGAATGAAGGCATGCTGCTGCAGGCAGAGAGCAAGAATGTTCGTCTGTCAGAAGTGTCATCTGATGCACAAAGCAAGTAGCAACGTAACAAGTGGCTACCATCTTGGTGAAACTTTCGAAAAAAATAGTTTTGCCTCTAAAATTCTCCATATCAAATAAATTAATGAAATTCCATTGATTGCTAAAAATCAAGACCGAAACTACTGCCAGCATGGCTCTTCCCACAATTAATGTTGGATTTGCATGAATTAAGACAAATTGAAAGACAAAATTTGAAACATCTCGAAGTTTGTGGCAAATATGTGAACACGTGCACATTCCATTGGTATACCTTTGTTTTGACAGCTTATAATGTTATACTGTTTTGCTCTAATTAGAAGGTATTTTTTGGACCAGATTCCAGGTAGTCAATATCACAAGTCTCCCCCCAAAAATGGGTTTATCTGAAAAACATAGATGTATTGTGCAGGAAAATCAAAGTGTTAATCTGCACTGTTAAAATAGAAATATTTTAATCAAGATAAATACCGGTAGATATAGCAGTTAGCAGAGCGGACTAAAATCACATGACTTGACTGGCTTGTTATTCATGAATCTAGACCTAGAATTTGAACTACATAACTTGATCACCTGTTTCTATTTGAAAATTAGCATTTTTAAAATACTGATTTTCTTTTTTTGTGTGTACAAACAACCCACCAATGGGCTAAGATGCAGAGAGTCCACTACATTTGTATTCAAGGGTTGTGTTAAGGATCAAATTGGTAAAATGAGAATGGCATTATGCAAGGTTCGGAACTCAAAAAGTAAGAGACTTTACTACGGCATCTAACTTCATCTGTCACTATCTAACTCACAAAGATGGGCAAGATATAGCTGGTCACATATTAACCAAGCATGTCGTTGACACGTTTTATGTTATTTAGCAGTGTTGCACTGTCTCAACTCTCGAGATGTGGAACACAAGACAAATTGCCGCGTACTTTACATCAAAACCCTTGGGAAAGGGCACCAGCATACTTGCATATTTTTTGTCCCTTTGTAACCAGTGTCGAGTGCTGTGCCATGCCAAGGTGAAGTGATGGTACAAATTATAGAGTTAAATTGGATTGGCCTAAGAAATAGAGGTAATTCCTGATTTGGGCACTGGATGTCGACAGAACAAATTCTTGTAGTAAAAGCTCGCCAGCTCAAAAGAAGTCTCAACATGTTCTTGCATGGTTTAACGGTCATTATTGTTCTTGTGATTGTTTTATTTTCTTTTGAATGTTGTGATGAAATAATGGTATTTACTCAGTAGTATTAGAACAACAATTATATTACAGTAGAATGCTTTGAAATTGATTTTGTGTGAAGAAATGACTTGTGCATTGTTACTCTCGATAATGTCACATGATGTATAAGAAATGAACAAGATTTAAGCCTATTGTCTACAAGAGAGGAATTGTGGCAATATGATGCATGATACTTATTTGCGCTGCTTCGTTATTATGATAAGCATAATGTTGTTTTAAAAATATGTAAGGTCTATTGGTGAGTTTACAAGAGACAAGTCCAGACATGTCCAAGCTAGTTCAAACTGGCTGAGGCTTGCTCAGGCAGTACCCTAGGAGGATAGGGTAGTGAAAGATTACCAAATCGGAATGACAACGCAGGATTGCATTAACTCTAAGGGACTTTCCATTGACACATGCGCAGTAAACTGTAAGAAACCGAGGCTATAAAAAGCACAACTTGGGTCAAAGCTGGGCTCTTTTCCTTGCGAGTGCAGAGTGGGACATGCAGCCACGGGAGGAAATCCAAAGCTACTTTCCTCTTGCACAATTTTATTTTAAGTACCGCGGAGTTTTCTTGGTGCTTTGTTTAATCCCAACGGAAATTGGATATTACGAGGCAGTTACTTCGGTAAGAAAACTCAGGAAGTACTCTACGCTCGCTTGTTCTCGGAGAAAAGCCAATCGCATGTCCTCATCTTCCTAAAACCCAAGAAACCTGACCACTAATTCGAACTTGAGGCGTTTTTGACTTGATCACTCAAAGAAAACTCACCAAATAGACTAGCATTTAGCCGCATTTATTCTTTTATTATCACATTTTATTTCAGTGTTTAATCAATCAGAATTTAATCAATATAATCAGAGCAATGATTCTGTGATTTCCGTGGATTACCGATTGTAACTCACATCTGGCGGGTTTGACGGTTAATTTATGGATATTATTCGAATGATTGTCATTTTAATAAATCTCTTGCATTCGATAAAATCTATCTTTTGTCATTCTTATGATTTAATTCATCACCAACCACTCAACCTCTTATATCGAACGAACGGCTATGACCTCGCTAACAACGTCGGGTCTATTTAACCGTCTAAGAAAAGACGACTGAATTAAGTTAAGTTTTACGCTGTCTTAATAAAAAAATAAACAAATCCATATGGTTCTGACAAGGATTGTTAAATTCACTAGGTCAGTAACAAGTGCACGAGATTCATGAGAGATGTAGCCACCGTTAAAAAACTAAGTAGTTGTGTTATTATCCCTTAATGAAAAAACAAACAAAAACAGTTACTCATTAACGACAAGATAGACTGAGAATCGGATTGGCTTCGTAAACCTGAAGGCGGTTAGTGCACCTAGACGAGGACAACTTGACACCGGCTTGAAAAGGGTTTCCCGTCTCCTTACATTGCTGCGTTGATGCAGGTGAGGAAAAAGTGGGAAAATCTCAACCTGTTGAGGTCAGAACGTTTTTTTCCCCGATTGGTCCTGCTGATAAGCGGAATCTGACACCAGTGTAAACTGACCAAGCTTGCATCGGGCTGCCATAGCCCCTGCGTCTTCCTGCACCCTCTCCTGTATTGCGCATACTGAGAAAGCCAATTTTAAGGGTCATTACTCCAATCTTGTAAGTAAAGGCCAGTGTAGTGGAGGGGATTTGTCCATTTCCTTCAGCCCTCCTTGGACACAGGTTCTTTTATTTCTCTATAAGGTGGAAGAAAGACCCAACACCACGTCGTCTTTTCTGCAGTTTATCACAACACAATACGAATCGATTTGGGCTCCTGAGAGTTTCACATTTCGTCAAGAAGTGTAGAAAAAAAGTCACGAGAACATATAGAGACAATATAATGAGAGGCTGGGAGTTACGCCTGCATGCAAATCCCGGAAACAAAGAAATGAACATGTCATCTGACCCGGTGTGGCTGGAAGAAGTTGGGAGTGGTGAGGTGAGACCAGACCACCACTACCCCTATTGTCTGTGATCTAAGCTTTGATGTGATGGCAGGAACACATACTTGAGATAACAGCTCCTCCTTTGATGTAAAACATGTCCTCTAGAGGGGCCCTAAAAATGGTGGGGTTCGAGGGGCACTAAAGGTGATTGTAATCACAGTGAGCAGTAAATACTTTCAACAACATTTTACATTCTTTGTTTCAAGTGTTTGAACAGAACCAACTACAAAAGAGAGGCTAGGAAATCACAGTAAGGAATAAGTTTCTTAACAATCCCTCTCTTGATCACAATTAATATTGTGATCACAAAATCTTTTTCTAATTTTACCAGTTGTTGATGAACGTGCCTGGGCAGATCAGGGGTAAGCTTTGCACACAATGGATCCGGCTGGGGCCCTGGGGAATGGCTTGAATGTGTCACCCCCCTTTCTGAAAGTTTGTGCTTGCACGAAGAGCCCCTGCGGAGCCTACACAGTGATTAAAGTGCTCCCCTGTCAAAGAGTGGTGTGTATTTTTTTTTAATTCACTCAATATCTTAAAACCTCGCAACAGTGTCTGCAATTGTGTTAGACACACATTTTCCGTGTGTCCGGTGAGCTCAGGTATCATCGGAAAGCGGATCGGAAAATGGAGGGATCATGAATTATGTGTGATTGCCCATGTCTTGTGTTGCTGGGCCTCTCTGTTTGCAAAGTAAGTTCCTAATGGATAAATAAAGTGATTTGATTGATGATACACAATTACTAAATGGCAGTTTTTTAATGTAGAATGATTGTCCATCTTCATGTGCTGAATAGCAAGACTGCTGCAAAGTAAATTGTACTACCAGTCTTTCATTAATAAACCACAATGGCTTTTATGTCATCAGCCTTTGGATTCTAAAATATTGACTGCTATCTCTTTTAGATTGGCCACAACCAACTATGAGACTACTCCTTTATAAGTGGAAATGACACATTAAGCAGACACTAAGCAGAACAAAGCCTCTAATTGCACTGGTCATTTCTATTCATTCACTGACAGGATGGTTCGAACAGGAGTAAGAAACCTTTGGGCTGACAGCGAGGCCCAAGAGGTGAACTTACCATGACAAGTATGACTGGCACGACATGAAAGCAACCACTCTGGAAGAATCTAACTTGTGGGGTAAATACGTTCTGTTGATGTGCAAGAGTGACAACAGGACAGGTTATGTGTGTTCTGTCATTCCTAAATTGGTGACCCAAGTAACCTTAATTGGCAAACCCATGAAAAACAAGCTAAATGTTTTGCCTCATACGCAGATGTAGGTTATTAACATCCATCGATAGTGTTTAATGAGAATATTGCACTCTAGGCCCGGTAGGCTTGAAAGATCACACGTGATATAGATTTTTGGATGTATTATACAGTCATTATAAATTAAAGGGAACTCCCCTTCCGCAAAAAGTCTTTATGGATATTAACCCCGGTCAAAGATATGGTGTTATGGTGGAAAAATCGACTCAATTCCCCTGGGTAAACTTGATGTTGACTCAGTGCAGAAACAACAGATTTACAAGACAAGATGAAGGCGCCCCCGCAGGGAATGGCACGTATAGCGTACAAGGGGGATGGATGGTGGCTTTGTGGGGGTGATGCGTACATGACATGAAGTGAGGATGCTCAAAGAACAACAGAACAAAAACAGAAGTTCGAATATGACAGAGGAACAAGACAGAACCTACCTGAACTTCACACTGGTGATCCAGTAAGGTTCAAAGACAAAACAGACACATGGTTACAGAAAGGGACTGTTCTGTGTCAAGTCCAACCAAAGTCATACACCGTTCAGACAGGGGAAGGTGCTTTTCGACGTAGAAACCGCCGAGATCTTCTCAAAGAACCAGACATAGCAAGTCAAAGAACAGAGACTGTTAAGGACCTCACACAGCCGACAGTCCATCCATTGAGACACCTCAAATTCCAGGACAAACTATCCGAAAGTCCTCAAGGAAAGTGAAACCACCCGCGAGACTGATTGAAAACATTGAATGTGTTTTTCTATGCGTTTTTTTCAATTGAAAAAAAAAGGTGAAAATGTGAATGTATAGTTTATTGTTGGAAATTTGGCAAAGAGCAATGCTTATTCAAGTCCAAATGTGTTATTTACTAAGTACAGTACAAAAAATACTGTGACTTTAATTTTAAGAGACCAACAGTTGAAGTTAAAGAAACCAACAGTTTTGATCTAGGAATGCTACTGTACATGTTTAACATCATATAAGGAGCTCTCTGAAATGCTTATGTTTGCTGGCGCCAGCCAAGAAGGACAGACTCAGGGGTGGGGGAACTAGTTGTCTGTCTCCTCACGCATACCAACTTTTATGACTACCTGGGGTCAACACTGGATTTTGTATTTTTCAAACTGTTTTACATGGGGCGTGACTGCCCGCCTTTGCTTTTGCATACTGCCTCTATATATGCTCATGTTTTTTTTTGTTCGGTGCGCTCTGCGACATCTAGAACTACAGATTCTCCAGTTGATTCGTGATGTTGGAATACAGCGAAAAATAGTCGTCAAAGTGTTAGGTCTTTATTCCAGTTTTAGATAAATAAGATTACCTGTGTGCAAAGGATTGACAAACGGGTGAAATTCCTTTGCAGTCCTTGAAGTAGAAGTAGGTTCAAGATTTCAGCAGAGTCCGGCATGTGAATGCTGACCATCAATAGTCCTTGTACATTTCTTTAACTGTCAATGCAATTCAAGGTCGTTCAATCTTGGAACCAGTGGGGAGGGGGGGAAAAAACGTACAGTATTATGACGAGATATTAATAACAAATACACATGCTCAGTCTTTAGCCTCTCATAGAGGCTAAAAATACACGCCGCTCTTACTCCAATGTCAAATGTTCCTACTCCACCCGCTCTCTGCCTCCCTCTCACTGTGTGTGGGGGGGCGCTTCTGTCACAGAAGCTGCTTCATCTCATTAGACAATAAAACAAAACGCTCATTGTCAGCAACGGCTCCCTGTATTTCCATGGCAATTGCGCCGCCATGTTGAGGTGGCGGACTTTTCTCCCCATATGGGGGGAGGAGACGAGAATGTGTACCAATAGTGAGCAACTGCACGCCTTCAGTTCAAAAGCAAATGGGAATGGAGGAATGGCGAGTTGGAACAGGCTGGCCCCTGCTGGTCACATTTTGGTGTTGTAGGCAACATCCTGGAAAGAACAAAGAATACCGCTGAGCTGAGCGTAAAGTTGACACGTAAATGAGGAAAATTGTGGCAATGAACTCACAAGGATGACGTCTGTCTGTCCCACTTTGTTAAGAATGTGGAGCACAGCATCATGGATTGTGACAAACAGTCTGTTCTTTGGGATGGACTCTGAGAAGAAACCTGCTCTTTCCAGCTGCTCCACCACGCAGGCTAATATTTGACCAAACAAGCACAGAAAATGAATGCAGTAACCTCAATAATATATGCTTAAACGGATATTTGGCTTTCATAGAAATTTCAAGATGAAACTAAAATTCTGGTTCTAATCGAACCAGGAAATGCTTTGGTTCAATTACGGATCAAACACCTGATCTGAATTTTGCCATTTAGCTCCTTGTTGTCGAGCAAGTTGTGTGCAAAGTACTGAAATGTTGAGACGGGCAGAGACGCACATTCAAAAGTTTAGGGAAGGTCAAGTGATGTGTACTCGTAAAGGTTGTAGCACATTTTAAATATAAAAGTCCCGAACTTTGTGAGCAGTGTGAGTTGAAGACCGTTATGTAACTTCAAGTTTCTCTATTTTGGTTGGTGGACCACTGACCTTGGCATCCAGTGAGATAGACTCCCACACCAATATCTCCTAGGTCCCTGCAAATCTGGAAGAAAAGGTACACATTTAAAAAAAAAAAGTACTCGTAAAGGTTGTAGCACATTTTAAATATAAAAGTCCCGAACTTTGTGAGCAGTGTGAGTTGAAGACCGTTATGTAACTTCAAGTTTCTCTATTTTGGTTGGTGGACCACTGACCTTGGCATCCAGTGAGATAGACTCCCACACCAATATCTCCTAGGTCCCTGCAAATCTGGAAGAAAAGGTACACATTTAAAAAAAAAAACATTAAAAATAAAAGTTGCTCCATATGGCACTTGAGTACATAAGATTACCTGTGTGCAAAGGATTGACAAACGGGTGAAATTCCTTTGCAGTCCTTGAAGTAGAAGTAGGTTCAAGATTTCAGCAGAGTCCGGCATGTGAATGCTGACCATCAATAGTCCTTGTACATTTCTTTAACTGTCAATGCAATTCAAGGTCGTTCAATCTTGGAACCAGTGGGGAGGGGGGGAAAAAACGTACAGTATTATGACGAGATATTAATAACAAATACACATGCTCAGTCTTTAGCCTCTCATAGAGGCTAAAAATACACGCCGCTCTTACTCCAATGTCAAATGTTCCTACTCCACCCGCTCTCTGCCTCCCTCTCACTGTGTGTGGGGGGGCGCTTCTGTCACAGAAGCTGCTTCATCTCATTAGACAATAAAACAAAACGCTCATTGTCAGCAACGGCTCCCTGTATTTCCATGGCAATTGCGCCGCCATGTTGAGGTGGCGGACTTTTCTCCCCATATGGGGGGAGGAGACGAGAATGTGTACCAATAGTGAGCAACTGCACGCCTTCAGTTCAAAAGCAAATGGGAATGGAGGAATGGCGAGTTGGAACAGGCTGGCCCCTGCTGGTCACATTTTGGTGTTGTAGGCAACATCCTGGAAAGAACAAAGAATACCGCTGAGCTGAGCGTAAAGTTGACACGTAAATGAGGAAAATTGTGGCAATGAACTCACAAGGATGACGTCTGTCTGTCCCACTTTGTTAAGAATGTGGAGCACAGCATCATGGATTGTGACAAACAGTCTGTTCTTTGGGATGGACTCTGAGAAGAAACCTGCTCTTTCCAGCTGCTCCACCACGCAGGCTAATATTTGACCAAACAAGCACAGAAAATGAATGCAGTAACCTCAATAATATATGCTTAAACGGATATTTGGCTTTCATAGAAATTTCAAGATGAAACTAAAATTCTGGTTCTAATCGAACCAGGAAATGCTTTGGTTCAATTACGGATCAAACACCTGATCTGAATTTTGCCATTTAGCTCCTTGTTGTCGAGCAAGTTGTGTGCAAAGTACTGAAATGTTGAGACGGGCAGAGACGCACATTCAAAAGTTTAGGGAAGGTCAAGTGATGTGTACTCGTAAAGGTTGTAGCACATTTTAAATATAAAAGTCCCGAACTTTGTGAGCAGTGTGAGTTGAAGACCGTTATGTAACTTCAAGTTTCTCTATTTTGGTTGGTGGACCACTGACCTTGGCATCCAGTGAGATAGACTCCCACACCAATATCTCCTAGGTCCCTGCAAATCTGGAAGAAACTCCCACACCAATATCTCCTAGGGTCCCTGCAAATCTGAAGAAAAAGGTACACATTTAAAAAAAAAACATTAAAAATAAAAGTTGCTCCATATGGCACTTGAGTACATTTTTCAAGGTCTTCACGGCGACAGTGTCCACGAAGCTGGTTGCTGAGAGGTCCAAGATGATGCTGTGAGGACCGGATGAATCAGTGGGTTCCTTTTTGTCATGGCTGTCTTTTGAAGCCTGCATGATACTGTCATCATGCTGGGATCCCATGTCGGAGTCAGACATTGTGTCGGATTGGTAAGCCCAGTTCACTTGGCCTTGACTGAAGCCATTAGCTGGAGATTCAGTCAGCTTCAGGGCAACACCACGTTTGAAATTCTGTCCTCCCAGTTCTGCAGAGATTTGTTTCTCTTCCAAGGAGAATGTGCCATTAGGCAGAAGATTGCTGACCCTCTGTCAGGGGGTGGGGGGGATATGTTTAAGTCAGACTTAAATTGGAGGTAACGTTTCCATGCAAAATGAAATACACATACTTGTGGGGTTGGTTCATTTTTGTCTGTCTTTTCCTTCTGCTGCTTCCGTGTTGCATCTTGTTTTTTCTTTTCTGCCAGCAGCTTCCCGATTTGAATGCCACTCTACCAAACAGATAACATATGTTGGACGAGGTAATGAAAGCTTGTAGAGTGATGTATAAATAGCAGCTAATCATCAAAGGTTAGCCTAGAAGCATGCAAGGACAAATGCAAACCTTCTCTTGTAAGGCCTCCAAGTACATCTCAGCATTGGTGTAGTAAATAGTTGCGGAAGAACGGAAGATTTTGATTCCAGGAATCTCTTTAGCCTGCAGGCACAGATCAAGCAAATCGGACTCTGGAATTGCTTTCATTTTGATATATATATATATTAAAAAAAAATATATATATATATTTTTTTTTTTTCTTATATCCGTTCAGTTATTCAGATGTCAGCATCAGTAACTCTTTTTTTTACAGTTGTGACAATATTGTTAAAAAAGATGTGATCACCTTAAGATTATGCCTTTGTCATTGGTATGACAGTCAGGTCCATAAATAATGGACCATGGACATATTTCTCATGCTTTTGACTCTAAATACCACGACAGTGGTGTTGAAATGAAATGACCAAGATGTTCATTAACTTCATTCGCTATTTACATCCAAATCAGGTAATGGGTTAAGAATTATGTCTCACTTTTTTTTTTATTAATGGTGTCCCATTAACAATCATCAATCAAAGTTTAAATTTTTGATACTTGGTTGCAATTCCTGTTCAGTCAGTTACAGCTTTAAGTCTGGAACGTATCAACAACATTTTTACAACCAGATTTTATTCCTGGTGATGCTCTGTAGGACCCAACTGCAACTGTCTTCACTTCCTGCTTGCCCTTTTCCTTTCAGTCTTGTCTTCAGAAAATGAAATTCATGCTCACTCGGATTCAGGTCAGTTGATTGACTTGACAATTGCACAACATTCCATGTCTTTGCCTTCAAAACCTTCGTAACGTGCTTCATGTCATTGTCCATCTGTGCTGTGACGCTCCGGCCACTGAGTTCTGAAGCGATGAGCAGTGTTTGGGGAAATACTTCAGAATTCATTCCAAAGTGTTTATCAGGAGTCACATCATCAATAAATACATGGGAACCAGTTCTATTGGCAGCCATAGATACCCATCTGGCCATGCAACAGCTGAGAAGCCATTTGTCCTTTTACTTTTTTTTGGTCCCTTAATTAAGTGGGAGTCATAGAGCCAAGCCTAAAATTATTCATACCCTAATGGTATGAATAATTTTGGTCTCGGCTGAAGGCTTCTCCCTATTGCAAATAAACTAGATTAATTCAAGCCAAAACTTGTTGATACCCTCTGGGCTTGAAAATATCTATTAATCAACTGTTGTAATTTCTACGCCAATTGCCTGATTTGGATAGGAATCCCCTCAAGTAAAAGCTGGGCGTCAATAGTTAAAACACACCTTGTTGCTAACATTTCAGATCCATTGCGGTGGTGTTTGGGGCCAAAAGGATGAGTGTTGTTTCAATATTCCAACATTTATGGACATTTAATGTCTCTCCGCAAGAGACATTACTGCACAAATATTCTTGTTACCTCTTTGTATGTGTCAACGTCCAGATATAAGTTGGTGGCTGGCACTTGGCCCAAGATTGAATAGCGTGGCCTGAAAGAGATGATGACACAAAACGTGAAAACACCTCACATGCCTACCAGGCTTTTGCATCAGTAACGATGAGCACGTACAGTTGGGTTCTGAAGATAACCGTCAGCAGAGAAAAGCCAATGGAGACGGCCAAACCCAGGTCCAAGTTGAGTAGAATGGTGCATGTGAACGTTACCAGCCACACGAGCTAGAGGGCAGTAAAAGGCAATCAGCTAACAGTACAAAATGGCAAAGTTGCATTTGGAGGATTGCGTCATACCAAATCAACCTTGTTGGTCTTCCACAGCATCGGCACATCAGTTAACTGCTTAAACATTCCTTTCAAGTTCACAATTACTATTGTGGATAAGACAGCCTGAAGAACATGCACAAATAGTCACAACATCATTAAAACGTGAATCGTTTTGACCTTTCAAAGCGGAGAGAACAAAGGTGTAGGCACGAAGATGAAACATTCCAAGAAAGGCATTTGACCTTCTTTGAAATGTAACATATTGGCAGAGATGACCAATACCTTTGGGAGAGTTTCAAAGAGAGCTCCTATTTTTAAGACCGTAATCAAAACGATAATGGAAGAAATCAGTCCCGCGACCTGATAAAACACACACAATATGTTCTTTCAACATCACGTGAGGTTAAGAAGTATATTTGACATAGTTTTCTACTAATGACATGTTGGTTTACTTGTGTCTTTCCCCCGGTGCTCTCCTGAACGAGGCTTCGCGACAAGGAAGAAGTTACGGAATAACATTGAAAACAGCCGCCGATGGTGTTGCTCAGTCCGAGAGCAACCAGCTCCTAGAAGAACAAAAAAAAAAAACAAAAAAAAAAAAACAAGCAATATGTAACACTTAATTACATTTAGTGTTGTTACATGAACCTATGGCACGTGAGGAGTATGTACCCTCCTGTCCGATAATATTAGTGTACTGTTCGTTAACTTTATAGCCAGGTCAACACATTGCTGCCACACTAAAAGCATTGGCAAGCATATTTAAGCAGCACGAGTGTGCATAGAGCTTGTTCAGCATTAATGATTAATCAGAGTGGCTCTTATGAGCCTAAGTGCTCCCACTCCATCTCTGCGCTTCACATGCCTTCATACATTCATGACAAAAGTAATTTAAAAAATGTCTTCTCCGTGTATCTTAAAGTGATCATTTTGACTCCTTAGAGGGACGTAAGTGATTTGAAAGTAACACCTATTGTACAAGCAAAGAGAATGGAGAGTAATGCAACAGTGATCTACCCATGATAACCGATTATGCAATGAGTAATAATTGTTGTGTGTGTTCACTTTAACACTTGCAAGACATGTATTAAGTAAATCAACATTAGTTCAATCAACAAAAATGTCACCGCGCTGTTGTCGAAAAAAGCTACTGACCATTTTAACATGAATTCCAACGATCAAATTTGGCTCTTCAAAAATTTCAGTCACACGGAAACAGGACGTACATTTGCCCTAACTCTGAATCAAAATCACAATCAAGTGAGCTCGAGAATTCAGCATTAATGATTATATGTATATATATATATATAATAAACTCCAAACAAAGAATATCCATGCAAACAGGGCAGCTTGCTGACAGGGTGGACGTGGGCAAGGGCTTGGTGGCCATTTTTGGCTAATGTTAGCATTTTATGGGCACACGGTGGACCCTCACTGAACACAAATCAGTTGGCAAGCTGATTGTGTACTCTTTACCAAATACATTTTGTATTTCTGGGAGGTTTTTACATCATTATCACAATGTGTGTTTTTGTTGACTTTGTTTTGAATGGATTTTGGGTGATTTCATATTTTGTCTTGTTTTTTTTCTTCGGTCCCATGTTCATGTCTTGTCTACTTGTTTTGTTTTTGCATCTGCTCTTGTCAGCCCTGCTCCTTCAGTCAACCAATCAGCTCCCTCATGCCACTCGTAAGTTGTCCAGTTGTAATTCATTGTCTCATCAGTTTGCTCATATTTAGTTCCTTGGTTTCTTTCAGTCTTTATCAGTTTGTTCTTGCCGTCATGTGTTTGCTGTTGTTAGTCACGTTAATCAAGTCAAGTGTGCTGACTTTATTCCCCGTCTTACCTTGTCCCTAGCTTTTTTTGGCCTTTTTGAGTATTGAGTAACACATTTTTTAGTATCGTTATTCGATGTGTACCTTGTTTGTTCTTTTTGAAAACAAATACTTTTGGAGACTCCTGCGTTCTTTGCCTCCCCTCCAACTTTTGCCAGCACCACCACGCAAACCAGTGTTTGTGGAAGATACTTCACTATGACAGCATGGATGTGTTAAACATCCAACTTGATGCATAATATGATGAAATGAAAACATAAGAGTAAATATTTAATCTACAACTAGCCACTGTTTCAACCTCCATTGAAGAAAATTAAAATGCTGGGCTGTTCATAATGTCACTGAACACATTTGAGGGTATCTTAAAGAGGCAACTAGTCCATAATGACAGCGTAAACCGCAATTTCAGGGACACTTGCAAAATGTTCACTATGATCATGAAAATAGAATATAAATGATCCAAATTACTCATTTCATCAAATAACTTGATGTGGGCACGAAAACAGTGAAAAAGTGAAAAAAGAGATTTTGTATCATTTAACCACTTATCACTCACACTCTAGTTAGCAGAGTAGTGTGTGTGACATACCAAAACCACTTATGCATCCAATGGGAAAAAAGTATTAAAATGAACCTTTTGATAAGACCATGGAATTTTGTTGTTCTATACATTTTCATGATAATTGATTAATTCTGAAGGCACCACAGGCACGTTAATTACATCAAGACAACACCATAATTTTTGTCCTAGTGTACGTCTCACCTGGTTGCTATCCACCTTGTAGCCATGCTTGAGTGCAAATGTTTTTCCAAGAGAAATGTTGATGGCATAGCCTACAATGGCAACAGCAAAAGCATCACCAATCACCGCAGGGAACAGCGACACGTCTGGAGCTTGGGGGGCCTTAAGCCTGGAACGGTAGAAAAACTCTCGAGATAAGCGAGGATTAAACGCAGCACAAAGAATGTTTACTGATTACATTTTCTTGCTATCTCAAGATCTGCAAAACCGTGGGCAAATCCATCTTTGCCAATTTATGTTGACTTATCTTAACAAGGAGAAAGCTACCTGGTATTTTGGTCAGTTGTTTCTTCTTGACTCAAGCATGTGAGGCTGTAGGATGACTTCAGCTATTGTAAATATTTGTCTCATATATTTTGCATTCTACTGTTAGCACTAAGATTCTCTATTAATTCAGGCGTTGCTGTCTATGTTGCCTTGTCATCTGCTGACCTCTGTCTGCACTCTTAAAATCACAAAGACTGACTCACCCACTGGGGATTTCGCCAACAACATCAACGTTGTATTTTGCAGAGAGGTCACAAAAATGAGTGATGATTGTTGCTGCTATGATCTGCAAAGATAAGGAGTGCACGGCTGATTTAAAGAGGACGTAAAATATACCCTCGATCCCATGCACCCGCTGCTCGGAGACAATGTGAAGTCTGGCCGTGGACGGTCAGAGCAGATTTTTTTTTTTTCAATACTGTGATAATGATTGCTATCAAAAGGACTTGCAGGTAGAAACTTACCACAATGAGTTCAATGGGAATAGGCAAGGGCAACCTCTGCCTATAGCATTGATTGAGTTCCTTGACCACAATGAGAACAGTGAGCGCCACCACACTCACCACGAGCTCTGGTACGACCGTCTGAGGTAGCAAGGAACATATGTTTACCAGAGTCTGTAATAAAAAAAAACAACAGAAAGATATGTGGTTTGAATAGTTTATATGTGGTCTGCCTGCTTGAGTCCAAATGACTGAAGGAGATTTCTGCGTAAGTGTTTTTATAACAGCAGAGAGCACATCCATTGGTGAGGAACAACCATACAGAAAGATTGGTTTGAACAAATGGTTTTTAATGGGACATACTCACGTAAATGAGTGAGAGAGGACCGGAGGTGCGAGCTGGAGAGAGCCCAAACAAATATTTGAGCTGGGAGCCAAACACATGGCACGCTGATCCTGTGGTGTATCCTCGGACCAGTGGCTCAGACAAGTAGGTGACCACGAAACCAAACCTCACCACACCCAACAGGATCTTTGGGTAAGTGAAAGAGAGAGCTGGTTGAAAACCTCACCATGGTAGAGAGTTTTAGAAAAAGTGGAAGCACAACCTGAAACAACCCCGCCAGGACTGTGAGCGAACAGGCTATCTGTACTCTGTAAGCACCCTGTTCATTGGTATTGACACTTCCTGTCCCATTAGTAGCATTAACAAGAAAGTTACTGTCTGGAGCGAGCCTCTCTGTCACACTCCCAATCATGATGCTGATCACAGCAAAAGTACCTGGAAATGCACATGTCAATAGATTGATCAAGCAAATTTGTCTATGTCTGTGGTAACATCATGTGCTCTCAACTTACCAATGGAAATGTGTCTGGAGGTGCCAAAGATGAAGTAGACCAGCACTGGGTAGAGTGAAGTGTACAGGCCGATCACGGGGCTTAACGAAGCCAGAAGAGCATATGCCATACCTGGTAGGGAAACAAATAATTGGCTGTTGTTGTGCCCATTGCATTTGAAATCAACCAGCCAAGTCAGACGGCCAACCCACAGAGCCTGGCTTCTCAGTATGGTTCCCTTAAGAAGGTGACTTGTTGCTATTTCAATATCTCTGGTGTTTGAAATTTTTATAAGATACTGAATGTGCAATAATCTGACCAAGCCAAATGCCGACTGTCCACATACATACCCTGTGGAAGATGCATGATGCCCACACTGCAGCCAGAGATCAGGTCCCCGATTGCGTTCTCTCTTATGGAGTATTTTGGAAGCCAGCCAAAAACAGGGACCCAGCTCAACAAGATTTCCTTGGCACGAGGCACTGAGCACCTGGGACAGTCAAATCAGAAAGATACACACAATGTCTATTCGCAGTGTTGCAAGAACACAAGTCACAAACTTGTGGACATAGATACAGTGTGTCTTATTGTGAACATGTTTTATTCATTTGCTGAAAATATTCTCTGAATAGAGCAGCACGATGTGTGAGTGGGTAGCACATCCGATTCGCCATTCAGAGGTCGTGAGTTAGAATCTAGGTTCAGGCCTTCATATGTGGAGTTCACATAGATTTTCTCTGGATACTCCGGTTTCCTCTCACATTCCAAAAACATGCAGGGCAGGTTACCGGAACACTCGAAATTGTCCCAAGGTATAATTCTGAACGTGAATGCTTGTTTGTCTTTGTGTGCCCAGCGATTGGCTGGCGACCAGCTCAGAGTATACCCTGCGTCTAGCCCAAAATCACCTTGGATGGGCTTTCAGCACACTCGTGACCCTTGGGAGGCTAAGCGGTACAGAAAGTGGATGGATATTCCCTGATTACCAGTGAAAAAGAGTCTTGGTCGATCAACATGTAACAAAAGAGGATACAGTACTTCATCGTGAGAATTGCAACACATGCTACAAATTTTCCCAAACGGCCTGGATGACATGTCTGTGTGCAAATACAAATAAGGCATTTGTCGACTGAATGATAAAGTGTTGGAAGCGATAAAGCCACTCTGTTTTGACCTCAATGGTGCACAATGTACAAATGCATACCCCCACCGGCTGCCTAATCTACCTAGTTCAAAATACAAAGGCTGTTTAAAACATTTCCAAAACCAAGTTTTTGAGTTTTACACTTCAGCTTTGTTTGACACTGCCAGATAAAGTCATGATTGTGGTTTGCAGCGGTGGTTTAGTATTATGAAAGGGTCAAAATGTCAGAACTTGCTCTCGGTATTGTCTACAGAGTGCAGTTTTACAGTACGTCACTGCAAACTACAACTAGAGTCATCCAACTATTATTGAATGAATACCTCTCTCACAGTCTCAATTGTTTTTGGAACATCAGGAAGGTTGGGTGTACTGAATGCTGTGACATTTAAATATCAAAATCACATGTCTTTTATGGCTTGTCATAGGTTATTCTGAAATCTTACTACAAAGCAGGACTGTAAAGTTGGCTTGCTTATTATCACTAATGGCCTTCATCTATCACCACCAATTTGTCCGCTGGCATATTTACAACCGAGCAAATAAAATCTCACATCCAAATAACAATTACCCCCACCGCATTTAGTGTACCTGCAGGTCATTTCATCATTCTGTTTTTTTAATGTTGTTGTTTTTACCTCATGGAGCCTTTGAGACGTTCACTGAAGGTTGGCTTTGCGGACCACGACCCTTTTTGTGCCACCTCATCCAGACATAACTCATCCAAAACTTGCCGCTGCACCGAATACTCCACAGAAGAGCAGTTCTTATCCTCCATGTCTGTGTCGGTTGTTCTTTCTTGGATGTAGAACTGGTTTCTGCTTTATGCCTGAGGGTCCTCTAAGAAATAAAACTCACACAGTTGCACATCAATTGCTGAGTAGAGAGTGAAACCGCCCGTATGTGCTCTACTGATTAACACTGTCTGCTCCTTGAGTTGCGATTGGACTGTGGGAGTTCCTTTCCTGTCCTTATATGACAACTTCCAGCCCATAAGTTTTCTTTCTGTGCAAACACAAACATGCCTGAGGTTATGCGAGTGTGCCTTTTTAATATTTATATATATATATATGTAGGTTTAGCTTTATGAAAAGTTTAATTCCGAATGGTGCCACATTGATTCTGAGCCATGAAACAATTCCCTGTGATCTATCTATAACATTGTTGTGTTTTAGCATGATGATGTTTGTATCTGCTTTTTCTTTGAAGGAAACATAACCTGTCTTTGTCTCGTTGCAAAACAGGACATGAGAGGAGCAAAATATTGGAAATTCAACGTCATAAGCTACAGTGGTGCCTTGAGATACAAGTTTCATGATTACTTGATCATTTAAGTTGAAATAAAATGATCACATTTATAGTCTAGGTTGTCCTATAGCCCTGGCTCATAGACACAAAAAAAGGTGTTCAATCTGACCTAAAATGCCACAATTGGTCAACTACTGGCATTAGTAAAAAAGGGGCAGCAGTTGATACATTTCCCTTTCCATCCATCGCAAGGCTTGCCAGCATCATTAGTGGAAGAGGCAGCATATAAAATTGTGTTGAGTACCTCAATGCTGGGGCCCGTTTACTTTGCATCATCAGTTTGATGTTGTTTTTGAGCAGGTTAATGTTTAGGCAGGGACTTGTTAAAATGACAAATGTCATTATTGATTAGGGTTTATCTCTCAAAATGAGAGGGGAGGTAATAAATGTTGAAGACAAGATATTTATTTTGTTGCACAATTTAGAGCAGGACTATGTTGAAGACTGTGTTAAAGATAGCCCCGCGACCACAGTTGCATTCCGACTAGCAATTCAATCACTGTTACTGCTCCACACAAATAGTCAAGTAAGAGATCAACAGTCCAGAGTTGTGGATGAATTGGTTGTCTTTGAAACGGAGCAACTTTTAGCCTTTTTTAAAATTTCCTTTTTGAGCATTGCTGTCACTATTTTGCACAATGTTGTTAGTGATTTTATTATTGTAAACTTTGTTCTTTCTCAGAAAAGAAGAACATGTTTTATGTTTTATTTGACTTATGAATGGAATGTTTTCACAATAGATTTCTCACATGATGCGTTGTTATTGTGAACTTGTGCAGTGTGTGATTCCCCCTCCACCACCCATCACCCCGCCGGGAAAAGAATGCCCATGATGTTCTGCCTTTTTACGTAAAAGAGCAACCGACTCATAGGAGGGGAGTTACTTCTTTGAGTAGAATGACTAACAATGTGACGAGAAAGAGGAAGCATTCCTGCACTTATTAACTCTGGCTGTTGTCACACACATGTAAATGTCTGCAGTTAAGAACATTTTGTTGATCACGCCAAGCTGAAATAATAACTGGGGAGAAGAGGGGGAAACACAACACAAACATCACACTTTAAGATTAATGAACCGATGAAGAGCATTAATGTTTAAATAGAGGTTGGGGGGGGGGGCTAGAGAAAACAAGGTACAATAAATAACCAGTGTTAGCAAAGACATGTATTGATTTACATGATGTGACATATATCGCAGAGGCATTCAGCGATGTGTGCTTCCCATTTACTTGACGCATTATTTACTTCTTGGAAGTGTTTGATAACCTACTGTATTTGTAGGTATGGAGAGAAAAAGAAAGTCAGGTTATGTTTAGCGATCTAGTTTTTTCAACAAGCTTCATGGGAGAAAACATAATTAAGAGGCCAAAGAAATGTTAGGAAAGCCTTGTGTTTAAAAAAAAGAAAAAAGTGACAATTATTATCACTACAACCACCGTTTTACATTCGCCTCTAAAGTTTGGGGTCAAATCTTGGATGTGTGAGGTTTGCATGCTCTCTCTGTGCTTGTATTGTGCCTCCAGCGTCTACCACCATCGCCAGAACATGGATGTCGGCTTCATTAAAGGTTGCAAAGTGTCCATAGGTGTGAGTCTGAGTGTGAATGTTTGTGCCCTGTGATTGGTTGATGGTCAACCTGGAGGTTGCCCAAGGTCACCTGGGATACACTTCAGCCTCCCCATGACCCAAATGAAGACTGTTGGCTCAATTTTATTTTGTCAACTGGGTGCCCAAAATTAAATCATCTGGAGCCAGATACATATTTTAAGTAGTTGTATAGTTTACTTTAAAAAAAAACGTAACTGGATCCCAATTATTTTACTTTATTTTATAATTTCATTTTGAAATTGATGAAATAATATCAAGAAAATTCAACAAATCTTTTTTTCAGTTAAGATGAAACTGACTCCGATCAGGCTGACAGCTAACATTTTCTTTTCTCTGTTATAGTCCTGTCAGAAATATGTGTAGCCGCAAATACCCCTCCAGCATTTAATTTGATCTTTTAAAATAAATTTACAAATTATTCTCTCAGCCCGCCTATGTATTGGTCAAGCGCCCCTTAACCCCGGGAGAGAAAAAAACGGCACACTAAAGAAAAATACATTCATCCGAATGAAATCTAAAACATGTTGGTAAACCATTACAATCGCTCAACCATCCACAAAGTGACTATGATTGCATACCAAAGGTTATGTGAGTTGATGTCGGTACAGTGTAATTTCCGAAAAACAAAAATTGTTGTCAAACTATTTCCGCACAAAGTGAAGTACACGGTGTAACAAAGCAAACTAACCGTTTGTCGGCAGGTCTGTTTAATCAGTGACACCTAATCAGGTGCTGTGTGCGTACGTGTGTGCGGTCACACACTGTGTGCACTTTAAGTTGGCCACAGTTTTAGATGGAGACTTGAATTTAGTTAAAGAAATGGACTGCTACTTTAAAATCCAAATGTAGCATTTTGGTCTTACGGGATAAATACAACATACAGGCATATTGAAGTCACTTCACAAGAATTCAACAGGTCACATAAATTCATGTTGAAAATAATCTCAACTGACTTTCACTTGCTGTACATTACAAGCTATCTGAAAACATTTGGTACAGAGAGATGTCCGCATTGCTAGATAATCAGTACTTGAGATTTGAGATGATGTTCCCAGAACATTTTGTCCACCACTGGTGTCAAAACAAAAGACAGCTGTGACATCCCATTACGAGATCACTTGCTTACCGGAAAGAAAATATGTGTGTCCAAAAAAAAAAAAATCACATTCAAATGTAAAACATGCAAATATGATGCAGAAAAAGTGTAAATCTGGTCTCGAGTCTTGATATGGTTGAGTCACTTAAACATCAAATCTCACTTCCATTATGTGGTATTGTGCAAGATTTTAAACAGGGAGTAGGATTGTACACAGTGACGCAACAGATGACTTTTGAATGACCACATTTTGTGGACAGTTTTGTGTTTCTAGAGCTTTTCTGAAAGCGGACGCTCATTTTGTCCATTATAGATTTGGGTGTGCAGTATCTTTGTTTTGTGGATATATATTATTTGCACAGTTTGTAACTGTTTTGTTATGGCTACCTTTTATTTTGAGCGCATTTCCACTGTCGACCACTAGTTGGGGCCCACACAATTTTCTTTGACTTAGCCTAAATTTTACTGAAAAATGGGTGAATGTCAATTCTTCTGCAATCCTGCTTTTTAATTCTACAGAAAGCAACTGCTCAGTGTACACATCTTTGAGCATCATTCTTGATGGATATTCTGATTTGTTAATATGGAAAGACAGAGGGATTGTTTTGGGGTTATCCATTGCACCTGCTCTGTCATCATATTGACTATGTTTTAGTGTGATTGCATTTTTCTTAAAATCTGTTTGAAAACCTTTAAAAAACATTGTGTCCTAAATGATATAAAAACATGCCTTGGGAGTTTTGAAAGAGGGCATTACTATGTCATGGTCAAAATGAACTTTATTATCCCAAAGATTCAATTCCTTATACAACGAGCGGTCAACATAAGGAAACATGAATAATCCTTGCACACTAACACAATGTACAATATAATAACACAGAACACAAAGTTTTAAGCCATCCTATTTACTGCGGATTTCACTTATTTGCTGAGGTGGTCTGCAATGTAACCCCCGTGGTGGTGAGGTGATTACTCTATATCAGTGTACATGCAAAGCTGTAAATGACAGAAATAAATCTATCCATCTATCCATCCATTTTCAATGCCGCTTATCCTGAACAGGGTCGCAGAGGAGCTGGAGCCTATCCCAGCTAACCTCGGGTCAAATGCGGACTACACCCTGAACTTGTCGCCACTCAGCCGCAGGGCACATAGAAATAATTAGATCCTGATATTTATCTGATGGTTCATTCCACATTGGCAGCCACTTGTGGAAACATGAATAAACCAAAGGCCCAAGTAGTCATGCTGGTCTATTTTAAACCCACCACCCTCCGCAAAGAACATTAGACAGAAGTAGCAGCGATCACAACTACAACACAGAGTGAATAAAACAAGCTTATCTTAGGTCAAAGGCTCTGATCTGAGGAGGACTTCCTGGTATGATAGCCCAACTGCATGGTTTGCTAAAAAGTCATACATGCATGTGACTGCTGACATTGCAAAACTGCCCTGTGAAAAGTGTGAAAAGTATGCTAGCAATCAAATGTGTTGTTGTCCTCTCTGACAAAGTGATTTTGGTGAGAGGGTTTAAAGGCAGACGGCAAAGTGTATGAGTGCTTATAGCACAGTTCTGAGGTCAGGGGTTTGAATCCAGGCTCCGGCCTTCCTGTGTTTTCCCCAGATACTCCAGCATCTGTCCACTGTAGAAAAAAAAAATGAGCATGTTAGGTTCATTTAAGATTTTAAATTGTCCATAGGGGCGGCCTGGTGGTCCAGTGGTTAGTACATCGACCTCACAGTGCAGAAGTGCAGGGTCCGATTCCAGCTCCGGCCTCCCTGTTTGGAGTTTGCATGTTTTCCCCGTGCCTGCGTGGGTTTTCTCCGGGTACTCTGTTTTCCTCCCACATTCCAAAAACATGCAAGGCAGGCTGATTAAACAATCTAAATTGTCACTAGGTGTGAGTGTGAGCGCGAATGGTTGTTCGTCTCTGTGTGCCGTGCGATTGGCTGGCAACCGGTTCAGGGCGTCCCCCGCCTACTCCCCGAAGACAGCTGGGATAGGTTCCAGAACCCCCCGCGACCCTTGTGAGGATAAAGCGGATCAGAAAATGGATGGATGGAAGGATGGAATTGTCCATAATTGCGGATGTGAGTGGTAGTGATGGGAAAATGAAGCTTCATCAAGCACATCTTGAGATTGTGCTCTTGCTTTTAAGATAAAGGCTGCGAGTGCAATGGAAATGTATCAAATTTCCACTGCATCTATAAACCAAGCGAGCCATCTGTCAAAAACGATTACAAATGCTTCATGAAGCTTCATTTGTCAGTCACTAGGGAATGGTGTCTGTCAATGGACATAAAACTCTATACACCCCTAGCCAAGTGTTTTGGTGATATCAAATAATAAGAGCCAGATAAATAATTTGAAAAGTTTTCTCACCACCTACAACCTCTACAGATCAATTGGAAAACAAATGAATTATCTACTATTATCAAACAACAGCACACCAGTTTGTAAAAGGGGATTTGGCTGTGTTCAGAATTAACCAATCATATTCAAACTCATGTCAAATGGGAGTCAGCACACACTTGCAACCACTTCAGGGTATACCCCGCCTCCTGCCCGAAGACAGCTGGGGTAGGCTCCATCACGCCCACAACTCGTGTGAGGTCAAGCGGATTAGAAAATGGATGGATGGATGGATATTTTTGGAAGTAGGGCCAAAAAGTTCAACCTTTAACCAATTATCAATCACATATCTGAGAGCTTTCAAGTATGTTTTGGTGAAATGGAGCCCGGCTTGGATGTTTTTCTTTGTAAGATAAGGCCAACGGACTTGCCACCCTTCCTCATTAGCTTAGACAGAAGATAGTAGATTCTAAACAGTCAGTAGATCTTTAATTATTATTGTTGTACCCTTTTCCTCACTTTTAGAGGGACAACCACTTTTTGATCATCTTATAGTTGTGTCATATTTACTTCATTTGATGATGGTTGTCTTCACTGTGTTCAATGATATATTTAAATATGTCATGCCCTTCTCCATACTGACCTTTGAACTTCTGATGTTGTGGCAGACCGCGGCTTGTGCTGTAAGAAATAACTCCAGACATGAAAAACATACCAGAACAGCTGAACTTTTTGTAGGACAAATCCGACATTTTCAACAGAGGCATGTTTGGAGTGACTGCCTATTGAACATTTGCAATTGTTTAATTCTGAACACTGCTAAATCTGTAATTATGAGAAATGTAATTATGTTGTGCAACAACATGATCTCATTTTGCTTTAATTTGTTGCTTTTAAAATATTTATTGAAAAAATATGAAAAAAAAACTGGCATTTGAGCAGTGGTGTGTCGACTTTTCATATTCACTGTATGGGTGCTGTGACTGGCTGGCTCCAGTGTGAAAATGGAGTGATAACATTCAGCAAGTCTGTTAACGAAGTCGATCATTTGCTGGATGCACAACATCAGAAAGCAAAGGCTTCATGTGTGTTTATTTATTCTTTAGACTCTGTTCTGCTCAGAATTCTCCAAAGAAAGAAAGGAAAACAAAAAAGTCAGTGTGCTGACAGAGTGTGGAGGTATCAGTGCAATGGACACACTCCTGGCGGCCACTGCTCAGGCCGAACATGGAGCACATCTTCTCAGGCAACTGGAGAAGATGAGAGATGCCCAGGAGCTCACTGACGTGGTTCTGGTTGCTGGCGGCATTTCCTTTGCTTGCCACAAGGTGGTGCTCTCTGCATTCAGCCCATACTTTCAGGTCCGCGTCAGTACAAAAAGTGGCACGAACAGACTATACTTTTACCCTTGAGTACAAGTTTGACAAACAATTGTGTAGTCTATGTCTGTCTTGGTACATTAAAACATACCATCACCAGTACGAGTAGTTTCATGTGATTATTTGAGTGTATTACAGAGGAACAACCACACGTTTCTGTTTATGTCTAGGCCATGTTTACATGTGGTCTAAAAGAAAGGAGGGGAGGTGTAGTCCCCCTGAGAGACACTCCTGCTCACAGCCTGGAGCTTCTGCTGGATTTCATGTACCGCGCTGAACTCCACCTGTCCAATGACAACATCCAGGCAGTCTCTGCTGCTGCCTTCCTGCTCCATGTCGACGGAGCCTTCAGGTGTGAAAAATCATGCGCTTGTTTGCTCATATATCGGTGGGACATTCCAAGCGAAACGTATATGCATCCGTTGTTTTCACTACTTTAGGTTGTGTCAAAGGCACATGGAGGCCAGTATGGACGCTTCCAACTGTGTTGGTCTGTACCACTGGGCCAGAGACTTGGGGGCCACTAGTTTAGCTGACTGTGCTTTCCGATACCTCTGCCAACACTTTACACAGGTGCAATTTTCACTTCTCTGTTCTATGTTATTTAATTTACCCTAAGACAGACGTTCGAACAATGATGGCTCTGCTGAGGAAAGTCCAGGTGAGGGCTCGAGCACCAAGCAATGTTGGAATTGTTTCTTATTCTTTTAGGGGACCACAACATCCCCAAAACACCTCAGCTTTGCAAGTGCATACATACCGGTAAAAATGTAGCTATTTTTGTGGTCCCACTGCAGCTCAAGTCTGATTTTTTTTTGTCCATGTGCAACATATATCTGATTTTTTTCATGCAATGTGAACTGTAAAATTACGATTTTTTTTTTTTTTCAAATCCAACCTGGCTCTCTTTCACATGTGGATATAAATCGGATACTGTATGTGTCTGCAGTATGAACGGTCATCTATACACAGCCGACCTATACACGCAGGCCGGGTGGACTACTGACTACGTGAATCTGTAAATGATTTAATCACGTGACGTCATCCTTAGTAGACGTCGCCCCTTCATTGCTGCTTGCAGGTTTAATTGATTTTGGTTTTCTTCCAAGGTTTGTGAGGAAGAAGAAGTCCTGGATTTGGACGCTCAAAGTCTTGCAGATCTGCTGGCTTCAGACGACCTCAACATTTCCAAGGAGGAGGTGATGCTGGAGTTGGTGCTGCGTTGGGTGGCAAAGCGACGAGGGGACTCGCAATGTGAAGCTCAGGCTGTGGAGTTGCTCCGTCATGTACGGCTGGAGCTTGTGGATCCCGTATTCCTCCAAAAAGCTAGAAGAAAATATCCGGTGGGGGAAACAACAAGGAGGATAAACATGCCTCCATGTTTATCATGTGACCCCAATCCTAACCCACCGATATTCTGTCTGATCATTATGTATGTTGAGCACACAGGTTTTGCTACGAGACTTTGAGTGCTTGCGAATGTCTGACGCTGCCCTCCAGACCTCGGGTCTGTGCAAGGCATCAGCCCCGCCTCGACCAATCCTTCGTTACGGGATGGAGACCACCAACTTTCTGATCTGCTTGGGAGGCGTGAACCACGACGGGATTCCTTCCCGCCGTGGGGGCCATGCTGATCTCAGTTTTTGCTTCTCTCCCAAAGACAGAAAAACGTACTACATCCCCTCTCCTCTGAAGGGCTCAGGGGGATTTGGTCAGATTGTTGGCGGGGCTGTGACTTGTGACAACAACATAGTGGTCGCCGTCGAGGCAGAGGATGAGCATAGAATGAAGAGAGTGGATATCTACAGGTGTACACGAACAGCAAATGTCACTATTTTAATTCACCATCTGACCTGCTCAATTTGTTTATGTTCCAGGTACAACCCTGCTGAGGAGTCCATCTGGGTCAAGCTTTGCTCAGCAGTACACAGAGACATGTGTGCTTTTGGGCTCCTGGGCGATGCAATCTACATGATTGGCGGTCAGATGAAAGTGCACCATCATTACATCATCACAGACAGTGTGATGAGGTGGTCGTTGAGAAGAGGAGGCAGCTGGATCTCCTTCGCCCCACTGCCTCTTCCTTTAGCTTGCCACAGCACTGTTAGCCTCAAAGAGCGCCTTTATGTGCTGGGAGGATGGTCGCCACAGGTGCAAACATTTTTGTTTCCCATAGGGATGATTACAGGCCAAAAATGTGACAAAAGTGAAAGCTTTCATTGTTAAAAGTCTGAGCAAAATTTGAATGTGAGCGCGTGTAATCCAGAGTCGACAAAAGAGCATACATAATACTAAATTAGTATTTGCACTGTGAACAAGCCAACGTTAGCCATGGCTGCTAAATTGGTAGCATGAAAACAGTGCTGAATTTACCTGTCATCAATCATTTTGCTTCACTTCTGAATGCTCTCAGTTGCCTGAGGTCCCTCTACCTCTGAAAGGCAACTCCTTTATTACACTTGGTTGCAGTTTTTTATTTTCCTGATGTGGATATTCCGGCATTGTTTCAGCAAAGGTCTTGAAGCCCACTGTAACAGGTCAGCACAAAGCCGTGGAGACTTGCCCGCGAATGCACGATAAAAGACACTTCACCCGCCTCACTATTTGTCTGTTTGACCCCCCCCCCCCCCCCCCCCCCCCCCCCCCCTCCCCCCCCGACACCATGGTTACACAAGATGCTGTCCGATAGGGAAGCGTTTTTCACAGCACATTTCACTCAACAGATATGACAAAAAGTTCATATATAGATATATCTATATATAGATAAATCTATCTAATATATATATATGACCTGAAGTTTATGAGCTACAATGCAGTCATACTGTCCAGTAACAAGTTGAAAATAAGTATTAGAGAATTGTAAGATAAGCCTGCTGCAATAATTGTAATGTACATGGCCATTGATTCTAATTCTGAGATTATTCTGCAACATTTCAGTACCAAGAATGTTGTATTCCACTACACCCATGCCAAAAGAAACAACCTTCATTATTAGCTCCAAGCCATAGTTCTGTGCACTTTTTAACATTGCACTCAACCGGATTTCTTTTTTCTCGTATATCCTCTCTGTCAGAACCACCCAGAAGAAGAACCAGACAAGCTGAGTAACCGAGTGTTCCAGTTTGATCCCGGTAAAGATAGATGGAAAGAGTGCGCCAGGATGAAGCACTCGAGATATCGCTTTGGCGCTGCCATTCTCAATGGAGAAATCTACATTTTAGGTCTGGTCTCAATCCATCAAATTTGTACGAGTAATGGGCAACAACAGGGAAAGGTGATGCTCTTGTGTTCTTCAGGTGGTATAGGATGTGATGGAGAAGACTGCGGCCAATCACGTCGCTCTCTGAGCTGTGTAGAGATTTACAACTCGGAAACAGACACATGGATGCCAGGCCCGAGTCTTCCCACATCGTTACTGTCTCTCCGAAACAACACCTCTAATGCAAGCGTAGTGCAGGGCAAGCTGTATCTCTGTGGATACTACAAGGGGGCTAGTAAGTTTAAAATTCTCACCCGCCACACACCGTCTCATGCCACTGAACCCAATGATGGTTGGCAACTCACATCCATGCAATGAGCAATTAAATGGTGAGCCTGGATCGGCTTTTGAGGCTGCCCAAACAGTGTATTGTTCTTCATCACTTTAATTAAACTATTACAAGATTGTACGCTTCTGACCAGCTGGGTCTTGCTATCTTAGAATCTGAAAATGCATTTTTAGCGTGCTTGAAATCTTATGTGCATGTAATCTGCGATGTTGCTACATCATATAGCGACGATTCAGTATTTGAATCGCAAAACCATTTGCCAAGTGACTGGCAAGCTGATGCCGCACACTACGCTACAGATCGGTTATGTTCGGCTGGATCGCTCGGTCTGCGGCAGGCCGGAATTAATTATGTTGAAATGTTATGGTAACAGTCGTGCTGTAGTGCTGGATGATTCATTGATTTTATTGATGAAGGAAGTTGATGCAAGTTGCTTAAAAATAATTAAAAATCTGATGGGAAAGCCATACGACCCAGTGCTAGATCAAAGTCTTCAGTCTTGTGAACCATACTTGATACATTGTTTATTTTGGCTGCAGGTCGTCATGAGATCATCACCAAGCAGGTTTTGGAATTGGACCCTGCTGTGAATGCGTGGGCAGTGGTAGAAAGACATGCAGCAATGCACAACAGCTATGATGTCTGTGTGGTGGCTAACCTCAATCCTCGTGACCTCCTCACACAATGAAACATCCCTTTATGGCTCGGAGCGATGACGATGTTTCAACCAAGGAGCTGAGGGAGGCGAACTTCCAACCTTACAAGAAAAATCATGGCCTGCGTCAGCCCCGGGAATCACAAACTGACTCTGGATGTGAAAACTCTGGATGGTTTTGTCGAGCAAACAAGCCACGTTTGGTCATTTCTACAAATGAGGGAAGTAAGGTCTTGCAATTTAAGGGATGCAAATGAATAAAGTCATAAAGTTATGAAATTTAAAACTCTTGAGTTTTCTTGCGACTGTGCTTGAATCTGCCATGTAAATTGATAGATATGTGGTACCTGTATTTGCAAGGAACTGCATTCTTAAAATGAATTAAATTGAATCATTTGTTGCTCGTCATTTTGGGAATAGTCACTTAATGTAGTACCTTTATAAATCTTTAATTAAATTTTAAAAAAGGCACACAGTGCGACCCCCAAAAGCTGTACAATTCTACAAATCATTGCTTTGCTATTTTAACTTGATAATTGATGTGCCATTTTACTGTTTTGCTTTATCTTTGCATTCATCCTGCTGTTATGTTGGGATTATATCTTTATTTCATTTTGCACTTAATCTTGCTTTTAATCATGTTTTCTTTGGATCCGTTTCACACTTTGTCTTGCACCATTAAGGCATTTGCCTTAATGATGCAAGACAAATAAACTTGGCTTGCCTTGAGATAATGTCAGTCTGGCTCTACATAAGCAGTGGTGGAAAGTAAGAAAACACATTTTTTAGGTATCTGCACTGGAAGATTTATTTTTCTGATGACATGATGCAAAAAGTACAGAGAGGTCAAGTCAACCGTGGTTGAGAAATAGGGACAGCAGCAACACGAATGAACGTGAATGATGGTACACTAACAATATTTGGAAAAGCATGATATTCTACATCCAGGCATCAATTAAGATGTTTGTTTTTAATTTTGGCTACAAAAATAAAATGCCAGCACATTTCATATGTTATCATTTGCACATTTTCCATTTGGTTCTTGTTGTTTGGCCTCGTGAATCCTGATTATCCTGTTCAATTTTGACCTGCAGCAAAGTGTCCACCACGCAACGTGACAGGGACACCCTGAAATGGTTGCCAGCCAATCGTAGGGCACACAGAGACAAACAAACATTCACACTCACACCTAGGGACAATTTAGAGTGTTCAATCAGCCTGCCATGCATGTTTTTGGAAAGTGGAAGGAAAACGGAGTACCCGGAGAAAACCCATGCAGGACCGGAGAGAACACGCAAACTCAACACAGGGAGGCCGGAGCTGGAGTTGAACCGGTACCTCTGCACTGTGAGGTCGACGTGCTAACCACTGGACAACCGGGCCGCCGAGAAATTGTATACGTTTATATATTGCAGTATATTGTACACTGCAACCTGAATAACTTTCTATTAGGCAAATAGTTATTTTTGATTTTACAAGACTTTGGGGTGGCCATGTGACCCTGTAACCCACCAGAAAATATCAGCCCTGCACTGTTCAGCAGCCGAAAATGATCTCTCCACTCAGAAGCAAATCAGGAGCAATCTGTCAGAAAATGACCATTTTTATTTAATCTTGGACAGATAAGAATCAGTTACCTGGAAATCATGCATGGGATATTTTCACAATTTGGGCTTTGACACACAGCAGAAAGTGGAGGAAACTATTTTTGCACGAGAAAATTAATTATCTTTATTTACCACATTATGAACAGAAACATTGTGACTTGCTTAACTGCAAATAGTTCATTTGCATCTTTTTGCATATTAAAAAAATTAGACTGTATACAAGACAAATGTCTTAGTAGCATTTGTTGGTTTTAGTATTTGCCGTGGGCGGCTTAAAAATGTCCACAAATGCCCCCGGGGTCACAGTTTGGACACCTGTGACTTCGGTTAGAGTGTGACCGATTTTTCAAACTTTGCATCGCCAAAAAAAGTAATTGAATTAAGTGAAAACTTTCTTTTGGAACGTCAAGGCTCCGCCCATCGGTCACCACGTGGCTTCTCTCATTCTTGCCTGTTGAGTTTATTTGGTCCGGCGGTCGGTGTCCTGCCTTACACGCTGACGACTGCTCCTCAGCTGCTCGTCAGGCTTCTGAATGTGCACTATCGTATGGGAGTGAGTGTGTCGTCTCGCGCAATGGGCAGACGCGATGGCGACAGCAGAGGAGCGACGAACACCGGCGATCGCTCGGAACTGGGCTGCCGGCAGAGTCTTGGCGGACGCGGTGGTGCGCGCGTGTCGGAGGCGGACGCCGACGTGGATGCGTCGGGCCGGCCAGCGTTGGAGGTGAAGAAGCACCAGCACAAACACAACCTGAAGCACCGCTACGACCTGATGGAAACGCTGGGGAAGGGCACCTTCGGTAAAGTGAAGAAGGCGGTCGATAGAGCAAGCCTCGAAACGGTGAGTGAGTGATGATGATATTGTCAAATGTCATTTTAAAGACAAACAGGCCTAACGAGGGACGGGCGGGATTACATCTCACACTGCACTGAAATGCTCTCATTCACTCTGTGCTGCAATGTATAATTCAGTATATGGTGTGGGAGAGTGTTTCAGTCGAGTATGAGACAGTTTCAGTTCTGTATATGGAAAAAAAAAATCAGTCTGCGTCTGAGTGTTTCAATTGTATAGATACGAAAAAAATCGGTTAGGTGTGTTAGAACTGCGCAATATTGGAAAAACATCCGATATGCAATATGAGTGTTGAATATTGCGATCGTGATGTTAGTTCAAGTTCAAGTCAACTTTATTGTCAAATGTGCTACATGTGCAACATACAGCACAGAGGAAATTACTTTCCTCTCAACCACAGGAGAGAGAGGAGCCGCTGCGGGTGCCCGCACCGCTATCAAAAGAACAGTTAACATAAAATGACAAAATAATACAACACAACACAAGAAGACACACAATCGCGCAATCTCAACCATTTTTTCTGCATACACATTGTTGTCTGAAGCAGTTATCGATGAAAGAGGAGCGAATCAAAGTGTCCTTTCACCAGTGGACCAAAGACGTCATGCTGAAAATGTGCACACATCTGCTACAAGCTAAGTTTGAAAGCAACAAGAAGCTATAGCATACATTGACGCAAAAGAGATTGGCTCACATCTCCTGTCCCATGTAAAAACCGCTTCAATTCCAAGCCGCGATTCCTAGTTCCACATATGCATCGGCGCTCTGCGCTGATGCTCCTTTCTTCTCATCGTTAGCTCCACAAGTCATCCATCCATCCAGTCGCAGACTGTCCAACAGCACTGACATTTCCGCTGAACAAAGCGGAGCTGTGAAAAATGCTGCCCATTTCAGGCGCAAAAAACACAAGGGCCCCGGGGCTGTCCAGCCATGACAGCCAAATGTTGCCGACATTCCTCCCAATCAAAATCAGTGCTGGTACACGCGTGCAGCCGAGAAGGCGCAACCACCAAGCAAAGATTCTTCTTATTTGATGAATGTCGTGCCCAAAAATGCTGAAAAAAATCCACAACAGCATGTGACAAAACAAAAACACAACCCCCCCCCCCCAAAAAAAAAAGCAAGGCTCTTGAAGGCTGCCTGTGCTATATTTAACATGAAATAATATTTAATTTATTATCATCTAAGGAAAGAAATACTTTTTCATTCGGCAAATCAAGCAGGCTCCACATATTCTGAGCTAATTAATTGCCATAACTTGTCATTATTTCCGAGACTTGACACCAATCTGATTGAGTGTATCGAAAACAGTCCATATTTTGCATTTTATGCAAAATCGGTGATCGACTGTAATGTCATCATTTGGGCAAGAAATCATGGCAAGCCATGACACGTACTAGCTAGAAGGCGAGCTGCACTGTGTATGTTTGCACTGTGGCGAAAGACTGTCTGACAAACGTACCGTGTTGCGCCAACTGCATCCCATTTTCTCATCGCGTATCTGACATATACTGCATGTATCGAGAGAGAGAGAGAGAGAGAGAGTGTGTGTGTGTGTGTGTGTGTGTGTGTGTGTGTGTGTGTGTGTGTGTGTGTGTGTGTGTGTGTGAGCTCATGGATCGGATGCTGCTTTTGCTTCCTGTGCTACCAGGCTGAGATGCCTTTGGACTGACTCACCTCAGCACTTGAACAAGGGGATAAACTTTTCCACAATAGGTCTTCCTCACAATAGAGTATGACTCTCCACACACACACACACACACACACACACACACACACACACACACACACACAGAGTGCTTTGCCTCTGCCCAGACATTACATTTGAAATATCACCTTAAACAAAGAATTGAATGGCAGCAATTCATGTCTGTGTAGACGTCCCGTAATCTGTTGTTGTGCTGTGATCCCAGCATAGAGAAAGCGACTCCATCTGCTTCAAATGCCTTTCGCTCTTTGTAGTAAACAAACACAATGTGATCGGGATAATCCTTTTTAAAAACTGAGCGTTGAGGTAAAACTAGTACAATTTCCCTGGCTGTGTCCGCCATCATTATGAGGTCAGGAAGGATAGCCGGGCAGATTTATTGCAAGACTAGGCTGCTCAAGAATGAGCTTTGCAAACGGGAGCATGTGAGTGAGTGCGGGGTGAGTGAGTGGTTTTAGTTGGGCAAGGGTAATTGCTGAATTCCTTGCCCCACAAGTGTGCACATACCAAGAATTCTTTACAACAAAACGGACATTATTTTTGGAAACGGGACTGAGGGGGCTGTTGTTTGATCGTGAGCATGGGGAAAACAAGGAGGCGGTCCGTGCTGCTGATGTTCCAGGATGGAAACGTTACCAAGGTATCGAATTAAAGGGAACCATGGCTATTACTAAGTTTTTTTGTGGTTTAATTCTTGTCGTTAGAGTTTGAGATGTACCAATATCACTTTTTTTTTCAGAATTAATACAAGTACCTGTACTTACATTTAAACACTCACCAATTCCAGGTATAGATACTTGATGGTGGCATCATGCAGTTCTAATGAAAATGTGTTTAATTTTAATCAAATACCCAGAAACACCAAACACACCCTTTTCCTGAACATATAATAAATTCCACTCAAATATCAGACTTTGGAGTGTGCAACTCGTTATTATTGACTCTCGAATTTTACATCCAACCGCATGTTTTTCTAACAGTCTAGCAGTGCATTTCATTTAATGTAACTTGTAATCCACAATGGCGGAGCTCGGCTTTTATTTATTCTTGGGGGAGCAATGGAGTGTCCACAAAACAAAAATTGGAAACACAACAATCAACATCCATTTTGATATTGAATACAATTTGCACACGCGTGCTCATAACTGCCACCCGTATAGAGAAGCAGCTAAATTTATTTGTAGGCTCTTATCTCACACACAGGGCATTATTCAGATGAACGATGAGGTATCGTGATGCATATGTCAGATGTTTTTTCCCACATGAGACCACACACTCCAAACCCATGCCACTTTAAAATTGCCGTCAATGGCCTCAAGGCTGAACAATGCCCAGAAATGTGCCTCTTCCTCTGCTCTGGTCTCCCTTGAACCAAGCGCAGTGCGTCCGGCCGGCCATACCGTCAACGCGGAGTGCACTTGTACCGTCACCATTTGTGCATTTGATGTGATCTGCTTGCCTTCTTCAGTTTGTAGTTTTGTGTCCGAAAATATGAGCGAGCAAATAAGTGTTATGCGCCAATCAGCCGACCGCCTGAAATTCGCGTATGAATCGCCAGTCATCTTAAAATTACTCTCATCAAACTGAGATCCGTCATCAGTCATTTGTGTTTGAGGATGCGAGAACCCCTTCAAATTACTTACAGCAGTTCAATCACAATTAAGCTCTGGTTTTCAGAAGGTCACATCAGTCCCCAGAGTGTGTTTGCATAGTTACATAAGTGACAGGGGTGATGGAGCGTGTGAATTGGGCCTCGAAATGGCTCATGAATGTTTATTTCCTTCAGCTGAGAACGCTGACCCGGGACGCAGAGGAAAGGCCCGTTTGCCCCAGGAAAAAAGACTTATGTCGTTCCCAATCTCGTTCGTGCTCACACTTCAAATAAAATTGTATTCATTGCACATGAAGAGAACTGTTCTTGTTCAAATAGTGCTAGGATTGAGGAAAGTAAAATCAACTTTTTTTGTTTGTTTGTTTGTTTTGCGATGTTTGTGCTGGACTGTTTTTAGGTTAAATTTCATCATTGAAATGGGAGGCTTGACCACGATCATTCGGATTAAAATTTCGTGGTTGTTTTTTTTTCTTTTTGTGGGGGGGGGGGGGCATTTTGTTGAAACTCCAGTGTTCCAAATTACTGTGCAGTTTAACAGCTAAAAAAACCCCACATCTGTCATATATTATGTGGAGATCATTTTTTTCAAATCCCCCAAAACGAAGAATCCCTCTTTGATATCACCTTAACAACACTGTTGTCTATTTAACTTTTCATTATTTCATTGATTTAAAAAGTCTACACACCCCTGTTCAAATGCCAGGTTTGTGTGATTGATTTATTTTTTTAAAAATGAATGAGACAAAAACTATAAAAACGTTTTCCATAACTAATGTGACCTATAACTTGTGCAGCCAGTTGATAATTTTTTTTCAAATGGGGAAATAAAAACAAAGAACTGAAATAATGTGTTTGCGCAAGTGTGCACACCCTCTTGGATGTGCTCATAATTAGTCTACCATATTCAATTTCATGTTAAATGAGAGTCACCACACACCAGCCACCATTTAAAGTACCTCTGATGAACCACAAATTAAATTCAGAAGTTCTAGTAGGCTTTTTATTATATATTAGAAGCCTGAAGGTTTTGTGCTAACACTGACTGATATTTCAAAGTGTTGATGTCTCCTAGCCACAATCACACCAAAGCATGATGATGGCCTCACCGTGCTTCACTGTCGCTTTCCTTTCGGTGATGACCAGTGTTGCGTTTGTGCCAACAATATAATTTGAATTATGGCCAAAACATTCAACCTTGGTTTCATTGGACTATAAGCACACAATATATATTGCACGTTGGAGAGATTTTTGTCATGGTCAATGGAACCATAGCTAATTTTACTGCAGTTAGGCTCATCCGTGCAAGTATTTATTAAAACCTGTCTGAGATTAAATACCAGTGATCCAATTCAAAGGAAAAAGCAAAATTTGACCTAAATCCTGTGCACGCAATAATTTGGAACCCAATGCTGTCACAGAAGACATGTACTAGATCAGAAATTTTTGAGCAAGTCCAATATTTTTATTTTCTAATGTGGCCAAATGAGGACTTCTTATGATACGGTGTAGTTCTACAATACTGCAAATATAAACATTATGCACGCATCAAATCAACTTGCTTCCAATTGGCTGAGGCATCATCATTTTATGGACCGTCAGTGTATGCAAAACACAATATATGACTGAAAGGTCACTTATTTATCATTCATTCCTCATGAAATATAGTTGGTTATGCAATAGAATGCTTTGCTGTGTGGCGGGCATTTCTTTTGCTGTTTAAGTGAGGTGTCCAGTCCAAAGAGGTTTAGGGGCTCATGTTGAGGTTATGTTCTGGTGTTGTGTGTCTGCTTCCCGGTTGGGGGTTACATCGGGGTACAGTTAGTGCTCAGGATTAAAGAAAGGAGTGCTAACTGTCCACCCTCTGCCCCCCAGGCATGTTCACATTCATCATCCAGGCTTTAAAACCACATAATCACCTCTAATACCTAGGGATTGTATTTATGTCCACATAAGTATCATCATATAATTGTCATTGATTCATTTCTTTGTTTTCATCTGTGTGTTTTGCTAATGGATGTACTGTGCATTTTTTGGTATTTTTTGATTTTATTTGAGTCAACGTATGAGAAAATGGAAGAGGAGAAATAATTCACTTCGGTTGGCTTTGTAGAATGGTTGTAAAACAAATTGCAGGATATCTCCATGTTTTTTTTTTCCAAAGTGGTGCCTTTAGATTAATTCGCTTTGTGGCCATGCTCACAACTAGCCTCATTCACAATAAAATCATTCTTACCGTATTTTATGCACTAAAAGGCGCACCTAAAAGCCTTCCATTTTCTTAAAAGCTCACAGCGCGCCTGAAAATCCGATGCGCCTTGTGTATGGTCATTACGATAATATGTCAAGCCCAAAATGGCTCCTTGCGAAAGACATGCTTACAACGCAGAGTTCAAACTTAAGGCGATCTGTTTCGCAGTTGAAAACGGAAATAGAGCAGCGGCAAGAGAGTTCAACGTTAACGAGTCAATGTTATAACTTGCTGTTGGTTAAGTGAACTGTGTCGCTGCTTTATTAAATAAGTTTTACTGACATCTGATCGTCGCTATATACAGTAAATTGGGTGTAGTGTTCTGTTGGCATTTCCTTGAGCGTAGCTCCATCTAGTGGATGCATTGTAGATTGCGTCTTATAATGCGGTGCATCCAATATATGACAAAAAATTACAAAATAGGCCATACACTGTTTTTCTTCCTTCTTCTTTCTACCCACAATCTTGCTGCTGTAGACTGTAAATTTCCCCAGTGTGGGACAAATAAAGGATACCTTATCTTATTAATTGAAGGTGCACCTCATAATGCAGTGCACCTTTTAGTGTGGAAAATACGGTAATTCAAATTTTGCTACTCCTTTTGTTGTGCATGCCTTGGCCACCTGGGGGGAGTATAATCCAGACCCTACATATATACTGTGTGTGTGTACATATATATATATATATATATAGAGGGAGAGAGAGAGAGAGAGACGGTCACAATGGCTCAGTAGACTGCAGTAATATTAGTCATTTTTCATTGGGGGCAAGGAATATATGTCTGGGTGTAGTGTTATATTGAGTGAATTGACTTGGGTTCACTGCCAACATGCAGCACTCATATCTCAAATTTTTTGCTTGCAAGTCAAATCTTAAAATCAGTCAAATGATGGCCCATATCTTGAAATAGTTGTAAACTGAGTGAGTGAGTCCTGCGTATCACAAGGCACCTGTGTACATTCACTGTCATGGCTGACATGTCTTTGTTGGTTAACAAATTTGAAAAAGAAATTGTTGACGACATCAAACATTTCTTTTCTCAGGTGGCCATCAAGACTATCCGTAAGGAGCGTATCACAGACGACCTTGACAAAATTCACATCCAGAGGGAGATTGAGATTACCTCCTCACTCCGGCACTCCCACATCATACGCTTCCTCGAAGGTAACGATTATTATAGTATCATTAATACTATTAAATGAAGCCAAGGAACGCAAAGTCCTTATTTTAAAAGTAGTTACTGCATAATATATATAATATATGACTGTTTGTTAATGGTGTGTTTTAGTCATTTGGGCAGATATGCAATTTGATTCATTGTTAACAAGGAACCAGCGATGTTACAAAAATCTTGTAGTGTAATTTAGCTTTCCTGAAAATCTTGGCGTCAAATCACATCAATCGAGTGTTTCTTTTATGAGAGTCATATGGATCCGGCTGTTCCGAGCGTCCAGCCGCTGAATATTTGATGGCCTTTGCAATTCTATTTCCTCTCCAGCGGAATTGATCTCAAATGTCTCCCATGTGTCACTGCAGTGTTCGAGAGCCGCGATAAGATTGTGATTGTGATGGAGTACGCCAGCAAAGGAGAGCTGTACGATTACATCTCAGAGAAGGGGAAACTTGCGGAAACAGAATCCCGCAGCATCTTCAGGCAAATCACATCGGCTGTCCACTACTGCCACAAGGTTCAAACGCACACAGCGAACTCAACGAATGTTATGGCGACTTGCACCATCGTCATCAAATGTATTAGACATGAGATGAATTACAGCAGCAGATGAAGCTGGAAGCAAATACAGGGTCGCTAAATCAGCCAAATCCTAATCCTAATACCGCAGAAAAAAACTTGACTTCAGTTCTCTTTGGGTTAAGAGCGCATTAGACACAGATTGTATGTGCGCAGTCACACACTGACACATTTAACAAGCATGTTTTATTTAATCTGATTTATTCCTACTTCCACTCAATTGGTTTGGATTGTTTTTACATGGCAACAGTGCCTCTGTCAGAAAATATGTCAGGGCAGAAACTGATCACTCCAACTAAGAGTATTTACAAGGGCATTGATGTCAAAATTAGACTGGCGTGCTTTCATAGTTCCATGTTGTATCCCTTTCTTTTTCGCAGCTCTTTTTCTTCACGAATCCCTCACATTAAATACAGAGATTATCATGCTGCTTTTCCAGCTTTACAGCACCCAGGACGGTGGATTTTCTTCACCTTGTGCCTTGAAGAACTTGCCCCAAAATAGACTTAAGTGTTCCTGAGTGAATGAATACATGTTCCGCTCCACTGTGCAGGCCACAGCAAGAGATGGTTGCGATGAGCGAAACTAATTTAAAGGGACCATGTCATGGGAAATCTTTGTTTTTTTAGCTTTTAGCCATGGTAAAATGCTAATTGCTCTCCAAAAACACCCCCAAAGTGGTGTTTTCCTCCATTCGGCCATCTCTCAGCATTCCTGCTCATTCCACCTTTCGAAGCAACAGCTCCACCCAGTCCAAGAAAATGACTGAGTCCTTACGTTTCTATGTCACAAAATGTGGAGCCACCCCCGTGCCGCTAGATAGTTATGAAATATTCTCCAAGCCGTCTTCAGGCACGTTGTTCTGTTTAACACAAGGCCCGAGAGAACTGTTAGTGGGTGTAAAAAAAAAGAAAAATTGGATGAAATGTAAGAAACCCCTCAAGAACATTCCGTGTACATGCTGCGAGAAAGCTTCTGGTTGCAACATGCGTGTGACGTGCTTGTGATCTCTTGCAGAACGGTGTTGTACACCGAGACCTTAAGCTGGAAAACATTCTTTTGGATGAAGATCTGAACGTGAAGGTATGGAAAAGTCCCAAAAACAGACTTTGATCATGAGACTGGTTTAAATGGGAACGTGTTGATTTTCGTCCTTGCCTTTACAACATCTTGACTAATACATTTGGGCATGTGGGTTGCTGAGCCAACTGCCAAGCAACCACAACTAGTACAAATGTAGTTCCGAGGCTTAAAATCAAAAAGTTCTTCTCTGCCTTATTTGGATATTTCATTCCATATACTGCGGTTGTGTGGAATGTAAGGAATCTACTGGCAGTTGCGGCAATCAAAGGTTCCATTATAAGTGAGCACATGTGGAGACTGCTCAGCCAGACTCGGTTGTTTCCAAATCGTTGGCTTCAAACACACTTGACTACTATTAGCAGCACTTTGCAGGTACTGACCAATTTGTGGACATATTTTGTCGGCGCTATACACAAGCTGCTTAAATGGCAGTGAGTCAGACTGTGATGATTTTGTGTTGCCTTCATTTGTATTATAACTATTTTTTTCTGAAGCAGTCAATAGGGGAATGACCGTGACACGGTCCTTGCAACTGGTTGTTGAAGTTTTTATGTTGCCCACAATAGACTCATCTGGATTTAGGTTTTATAAATAAGTATATGTGTAGTCTACTTTAAAACATTTATCTGTATCCAGATGATTTTTTGTACATCCACTTGACGAAATAAAACACACCTTTTTTTTTCAGTATAGTTGACGAGCGTTCAAGTTCTTCCACCTGTCACTCTGTTTCGCTGGGGTAGATAGATTAACAAGGATACATCATGTTTCGTAAATAAATAAGAATTTTGGGATCAATATGGATCATTTTGAAAGGCCCACTTGATGATCGCTCACGACACATCTAACGTGCTGTGGCACGGTGGTTGAGAATAACTTCTCGTCACAGTCTGTGTAAGCGTTCAGTTGTGCATTTTAAACGTTCCAACATGCTCTTGGTTATGTTACGTAGCATAAACACCGCAACTCGTGGTTATTGTTATTCCATAACAACTGTGAGTAATTGTCAACCTGCAACTCTCTTCCATGGAAATGAAGCCGCAGTGTTGAGTATTTTTACCCGCTGAGCCACTGATAGTGCGTTGGTGTGTGCACGGTAATAATCTCTTCAGATAAAGTGGAGCCTCGGCATGTTTGCATATGGTCCTCATGATTGTTCCATTACGTGACTGACTGTGCGCATCACTGGACCTCCTCTCTCACACGTAACCTTTTCACTTGAATTGTTAAGACGGTGGTACATTAGAAACACTGATGAACACATAAAACAGTGATGTTATTCCAAAGAAACATTTATATCTCATCAACAGTTCTGCAAATCCTCTCTCTTGCTCACTTCGCAGCTTGCCGACTTTGGCCTTTCCAATCAGTACCAGAGGGACACTCTACTGCAGACCTTTTGTGGAAGTCCACTCTATGCCCCCCCGGAAATAGTGACTGGGCTGCCCTACCAAGGACCAGAGGTAGGTCAGAATGACATGTAGTATCAATACTGTAGATGAGCCAAGAAACTCAAAGTCGGGTCAATAGACATGTCTCGGAGCTGCTGCACACCGAGTGACGTAACAGAACATATCTGAAGTGAACCATCATGAAAAAAAATCACAGCAAGCAATTGAGCACCGCAGATCCACAGACATGCTGCAACAGAAAAACTGGGACCTTGTAACAGGTTTAGAGTCTCTAGATACAGTACTCTGTTCTGTATTAATTTTTTACTGAACCACAAAAACATGGTGCGATTGTCAAGAAGGGAGCGGATTGCTGCTAATAGGAGAAATGGGCTATTATATAACGGGGCATATTAAGAGGCTGTTGGCAACGATTGATTGTCCCATTCCCTGACTGCATCCATGCATTTGGGTGACAGAGACTCTCAGTGCTTTGCTTTATTGCCACAAGTATGGCTTGGTGTCCCTATAGCGGTCGGCTGGGTCTTGCTTGGTACTGCGCACGGTAAGGTTTTTGGGGTGAAAGCTCATGTGCATTTTTGATTGGCTGTTTCATCTCCAATGTTGCAAATTCAATTTTGAATTTCAGAAAACTAAATGGCCGACGCTTGGCCACTCCCGAAAACTAGTCACTGAACCCCTTAACACAGCGTGACAGGATGATGCAATTTGACAACGTCACGCAGTGTGGGAAAGTGTCAAGTGTGCTTCAAATAAGTTGCCCGTAGTTGTAGTTTTCCTGATTGCTCAGCTCTTTTCAAATATTTTCAAATCCTTCAACATTTGATGCACTGAAGCTTGATTTTTCATGCTTCGTTTCATGGTTTATAATTGTGTCCCAGGTGGACTGCTGGGCGCTGGGTGTGCTGCTGTACGCTCTGGTGTATAGCAGTATGCCATTTGATGGGGCCAGTCACTCCATCCTCAAAGAGCAGATCTGCCAAGGACGCTATCGGAGACCCAACCCCCCCTCAGGTGCACCTCTTTACTGTCCTTTACATTAAACGCTATGTGCACTATGTGGGCAAATGTATTGGCACACCAACAAGGACTGAACAACAATTAACACCACATTTGGTGGTTGTAAAGGTGGGGAAGATGTGAGCAGGTGGAGCCAAATGTAGAGCCAGGCAGGAGGAAGTCAATATATTCAAATTTTACAGAAATGCACCCCAGTTCGGGCAAGAATGATTAGAATAGTTTTTCTCATTAATCGTGAAAGTCAGTTTTCTAAGAGTGGCGTGTGAGATTTAACGGTGGTCACTTGAGTGTGTCATTACACAGTGTTAGCACCAAGGGTGGAAAATACAAACTCCTTTTACTGCTCAAGCAAAATCGCATAGAAGTGAAGGAGCTCTTTGCAGCTGCTGACCTTTACCTCGATAGTAAACAAACTGGTTTACTGCTCCCTTTTAGTCCTCATGAAAAGAGCAAGTGGTAAATTACAGCAGAAATGAAATTACAAGCATTTGCTTTCAAAAAAAGCATCCGTCAAGTCCCCCTTAACAGCAAGTATCCCCGTCAATGCAAAAGCACACATGTATCATTGTAACACTTAAATGACCAGACAACATAGAAGGCAGATCACGTTTCTTTATTGGCATGTTGCCTTTTAAATAACTCTTGACCCCCCCCCTCCAGACGCCTGCGCTCTTATCGACTGGCTGTTGACGGTGCGTGTGAACGAGAGGGCGACGATCGAGGATGTAGCCAACCACTGGTGGGTGAACTGGGGCTACGAGGAGAGCGTGTGTGACTGCGCTTCATCAGCACACTCGGATTGTCCCTCCCCACTGCTGGCTCGCTACATCGACTGGCAGAATCGAGTTGCCACCAGCTTGGCTGCTGAGCCAGGATGCCTTCCTTCGGAATCCAACCATCACCCCCCTCATCCCTGTTCCTTCAGCTTGCCTCTTAGGGCTGAGCGAGGAGGAAGAACGCGAGGTGGATCATCCAGCGTCAGAAAGTCTCGCAAGGAGAACGCCATTCCTCAGACTACACAAGGAGCGGGTGGTGCTGCGGCAGCTTCAGCCTGCGCTGTGCCATCGTCTGCCTACACCTCTGAAAGAAAGAAACCCAAAAGTATTCTGAAACACCAGAGGAGTTTTGACTCTGTTTTGCACAGCCCTCCCAAAGAAAGTTCCCACCCGGATACTGTTGATCCCCATCTTTATCAAAAACATGCACTTGGCCACACACGTGCTGAAGTCCTGGCCACTGGTCTGACATCTCCCTGTACATTCAGACAGCCCTCTTGTAAAATGCCCAAAAAGGGTATACTTAAGAACCTGTATGAAGGGGAAACGGGTTATGTCTCCTCCTCACGAGGAAGAGAGTCCAGACTCGGCGTCCAAGAGAGTGATGCCGAAGACTCCTGCTTGAACAAACAGCACCAATTTGCCCCAGCAGCAGAGGACAGTCCAACCATGAGCACAGAGGCAGTGAGAAAACGAAAGGGTATTCTTAAACGGAACGGCAAGTTCTCACGCAGTCTCGACCTTCCGGACGAACAGCGCTCCCCGCCGCCTTCCGATCGCGCGTCATTCCCAGACACTCTGCAGCAGTTCCTCCGAGCCAAAATGGCCGCCGATGGCCACCAAAGCCGCCCCTCTAGCGTGGTGAGTGAGGATAGCCTTTTCTCCAGCGACTCCTTCGACCTGCTGGACCTCAGCACCCGATCGCGCCGCAGCTTTTTTTGCCAGGGAATGCAACGCAGCATGTGTAGCTCAGAGGAGGACCTGCGAGGTGGAGCAGGTGAAAATGAAGGGCATGAGTCCAAGTGGTGATGTCCGTCATCAGAACCGTGGCTAAATTAAAGACCCTGTATGAAGTGAAAGCATGCAATGTGTTTCTAAACATGGTGTACATGTTTGAAACAGGGCCGTAGCCAGATAATTTTCACCGAGGAGGCCAGAGTGACTCAACACCTAAGTCAGGGGGGGCCGTGCATGCGTCATTCTTTATCACAGCATCCGCAGTTCGGGTTTTATGAAATCAAATTCAATCCTATGCCCATCACGCTCATAATCAAGCAGGAACAAGTTTGGGTAGAAAGCAAGTTTTTTTTTTTTTTTTTAAAGAAATGTGATCTTAATTTACTTGATACTGCCATTTCCTTTGCCATGGCTTTGCTTTTCTGTCCTATCTCATAGTTTACGTGTATCTCATGCACTGATTCGCAAGCTAATAGCCAGTTAGACTGATCAATTGCCACTGACAGCTGACACCCTTTTTTATTCTACATTCAATGTCTCATTTATTGAAATCATTTCTAAAAAGCACAGTGGCACAAAAATATCTCAATTCTTCACAATTCTAAATGTTGCTTTTTACTTGGTTCTGCTTGTGAATGTGTTGGGCGCGATTGGTAAGATTGGTGTCCATTTTATGTCATGAAACTTTGACCGTTGATGGTATGATTAACAATGACTTCTCAATCATGTCTGCTTACTTTGGTTTGAAAGTAATGATTTCGATTACCGTTGACTGTAGGAATTGTTCTTTACTTAAGACAGATTCTTTTAGATTTTCCATTAAGATCAATTGTATATTTATATTTTAAGTATGATGTTAATATATAAACATAACTTGTGGCAGAGTATTAAGGGGTCTAAGAATACTGCATCAATGGGAAAATGGCAGAAAAAGCAGAGATATGGTTGTTGGGGGCTTTGCGTTGTGACTTTTGTCTGCCATTCCTGCATGTTTCACACACATCACTGTGTCAATAGGGACAAAACAATATCATATAAATGTTTCGATTATGATTCACTAACCATTACAATGCATCAAAAGACCCTTGCTCCTTTGCACAAAGAACATTTCACGAATTGCATTCGTCTCACTTTCAAGCATCAGACCATGCAGGAGATGTGTGCAATCCTGTGGAAAAGTGGGTTTCTTTTTATTCGTGTCATGAAGAATACATCTTTCCTGCAATGAAAAGTCGTCAACGTCAATGGAAGCATCATGAGAGAATATTTATGAGCATAGACACCGGCTTGGGAAAGAGACAAAATGTGCTGTACTGTGTAATAAATGATGCATTTAATTGTTTTGTCATATAGTTACATTTCTCGGCTCGTATGTTCTTTCTCTATGGTTAATACAAACTGTATTTGACAGAGCACAGTGCATCAATGGCCTTCTGTTGATTAGGTTACAAAGTTGCCACAAAGTAATTAGAAGTGGAAATAGATTTGGTAATTTGGCAATTTTTTTGTGGGGGAATGGGGGGGGGACATCAAATATTGTAATAGGAAGCCCCCCATGTTTTCTTTTGAAAGCATCCAATTGTACCATCTTATTTGTGTGTTTCACTGGCTGATCCCCCAACATGGAATGAAAAATGGAATGAAGAATGAAAAAAATTTGTAGAGTCGGCAAGATGAAAAAAAACAGCATCTCATCCCCTCACGTTTTGACACCTAATCATAAACAATCACATACAAGATGAAACTAAGCAAAGAGGCATATTTAAATCTGCTATGGCTAACATAAACATAATGCATCCTTTCGGAGTGACAGTACCACCCACTTTCAAGCACTAAGGCATGTCCAGTAAACCTGCCTGTCCATGCACATACAAGCCAGCCACGCTTATGACACTGGGTTTGCCCAACTTGCAGGTTACACAGCAACGACAACATTATCTCCAAGTGGTCACACACAGGCCGTCCAGTTACATAACTGCAAGCGTTTGAAGTGATAGCCTAAATTACAGTGTCCTTTCTGTGAACATACATTTTACATTTCTACCAGTTTTATTGGGGTTGTTTATCGAAAGGACAATTTTTTAGCAACCTCTAGTCCTTAGTAATGGCGTTACACATTAAGGAGTTCAGGAAGTCAAAACAATATCCTTTCAGTAATAATGTGTAGGCCACTGCTAAATCCCAGTGACTATTTTCCTTCAACAGAATCAGCTAATTGTCCAGAGACCTTAAATATGTAAGACATTCTGATAATCTGCACTAATAACTAGTGCAAACCAGGGTGAAAGCAATTCATGGCTAAGACCTGCAGGCAAGAGGCTTTTCTTATTTGTTTCTCTTGCACGTGAGGAGAAAGTACCAGTGAGTGAACAAAAGCAGGCATTTTCTTTATTCACAACGGCTACCAAAGCACAATTATAATGATGTCATGGTAGTTTTACACACTTCACAAATAGCATGCGGGGCAGCCTATCTCTTGTAATATTGTGTCCAGTGGAGGGTTTGACCCCCATAAAATGGAAGCGAGAGCTTTGAAATATTTGTTACACTCAATTACAATTGCTTTTATTATTATTACTTTCAAACAAGTTACCCTGAAAGTGTAATAATCCCGTTTTGTGGTTCAACAGCAACAGTGTGAGTTGTAACAGTACAACAGCAAAAGTCATTCTTGTTGGGATCTTGGTTCTTGTTGAGAAGATAAGGTGTGTCAGAAGATTTTCAGGATCGATGTCACAAAAAATTGTCTTAACTACAAGACTTTACCATCAAATCCTCTAATACACTGTCCAAGCCTTCTCTGTCATGCTTTTATCCCCTCCTGAAATTATTTTTCCGAGATCCTCCACAGGTCCATTCTCACGGCCATCTTGATGTTGTCCACGTCTTCATAATGGGTTTTTTCTGAAGACCCCTTCGGATTGAGTAAAGAGGGTGAAAAAAAAATCACACAAAACAAGGACTGGTGAGTAGGGAGGATGTTCCAGCACAGAGATGTTCTTCCCAGCCGGGAAGTGTCAGATGGATCTGTTCCTGGACGTGCTGGCCCACAGTGTAGAGGCAAGCTTGTACAGTAATTTGTGTTTGAAATGTCTATCTTCTGTGACATCAGTTCGGGAACTTTTGTGACACACCTTGTATTTTATCAAATGCGCACCGTACGAATATTCTCCAAATATATGTGAAATTGAGAAGCATCTTCATTTACCTTAAAATAAATAAGTTTTAGTCGACTGGAAAATTAGCTTTCCAGTTGACTCTAGCGTCATCCTGTGGTTGTTTGTGTTGACACATACAACGAGCCAATTCAAAGAAAGAAAATATGCAGTTTCCTTTTACATATTATTGCTTTAATCAACGCTAAGCAATCATTTTGACTGAAATGAATTCTTGATCAAAGAGGTCATTCAGTCAGTACAAGTATTCAAAACAACACATTCACACTACTTTTCAATTAATTCTGACAGTGGCGTGTTCACAGGAATATAACCCTACGCAGCACCAGCCTAAAGCACAAGTGCAATATAGTATAATTCACAATTTTGTCCGTTTCGAGTAAGATATTGGGGTACATTTATCTCTCACCTCTCTCAGGCTTGTTTCCCGAATGGTTGCCCCGGGTGACTGAAGTGCGTCAACAATAAAAACCCGGAGTTAACACTGCACAATGTCTCCATGGTTCCTAGCAACATCAAAACGGGGTGGCGGGGCAGGTTTGCAAACGAGGGAGAGAAATGCGTTGATATCCCAGTTTACAGCAAAGCTGGCGTTTCATTCTTTTCTTCCATCTACATTTGGTAAAGACGTTTAGTTTTCGATAACGGAACTGTTTCGTTTCATTGCACGGAAGCGTCGCCGGCGGAAACGCAAATAATTGGAGCGTGTTGCCGTAGCTCTGTAATCCCGTGCAAAAGACCCGTCCAGGCCGTGAAAGTCATGTTCAAAAACACATTCCAAAGTGGGTTTCTTTCTATTTTATATAGTATCGGGAGCAAACCTCTTCAGATATGGGATAAAAAGGTAAATTGACTTTTTGACCCGGTCGTTTGTTTCATTGTGCCTTCTCGCTAATGCTAATGTATCTGGGATGAGCTGTAATTGATATACTTTGTTCGGAGTCTCAGTGAAGTAACGCTTCTTAATGTGTTTGTAGCCTACGTTTTTTATTACAATGCTGCTGGGCTTCTAAACATATGTTTTATGACTAAGAGTCTGTATTTTTCTCTTATTTACAAGGTGAGGAATGGTCACATCAAGCGAATTACTGATAATGACATTCATTCACTGGTGTTGGAGGTCGAAGGGACAAACGTCAGGTATGTGTCCACTGAAGATCATCTTCGAACCAGTGCTGTCTTCTTTGTGCCCACAGTATGGGACACTTATTTATGCTATTAGTTTTATTTTATTTATTTATTTTTGTCCTCACAGTACTACTTATATCACCTGCCCAGCTGACCCAAAGAAGACGCTTGGTATCAAGTTGCCTTTTCTTGTAATGATCATCAAAAACCTAAAGAAGTATTTCACCTTCGAAGTTCAGGTGCAGATACAAGTCATTTCAGTGTGTTGACAATAGAGAGGCAGAAGTGACGCTCCCCTGCTCTTGTCTCCATACATTTCCACTTTCAGGTTTTAGATGATAAAAATGTTCGACGGCGGTTTCGGGCGAGTAACTACCAGAGCACAACGCGAGTAAAACCATTCATCTGCACCATGCCAATGAGACTTGATGACGGCTGGAATCAGATTCAGTTCAATTTGTCAGATTTCACCAGGAGAGCCTACGGAACCAATTATATTGAGACTCTGCGTGTGCAGGTGAGTTTGCAGTCACACCTTATTTGCACAACATTTACAACTAAGTAGGATGCTGCATGTGTTGTAAAAAAATGAATACAAGTGGAAGTGTCATGTACCAGATGGTTTTGGTGTCAGGTAAAGTTCAACTGATAATATACGGTCTCTTAGTATTTAATGTTCAAACACAATAGTAGTGATAATTTTACAGTTTACCCCCAGCGAGTCCCAGGGACTCGCTGATCAGAAAAGTATGAGTCCCATTATGCATTTAGAGCAGGGGTGTCAAACTCATTTCACATGGTGGGCCAAATACGGCCTCGGTAGATGTCAAGTGGGCCGGACCATTAAAATGATACCATACTTTGCTATAAATAACAAAAACAATCTGTCTTCCCTTTGTTGTGATACAAAATAAGCACAAGAACATGAGGAAAATGTTGAAATTTAATGAACATATCTTTTACAAAACATTTCAGGAAGCACCTTACATTTCCTTCGACAAATGTGCAATTTACTTTTATCATTCACAAATATGCATTGCAACTGATCCCACTGATTGTACAAACTTTAACAAGTAATTGGTATTGAAAAATATAGTAATGCACTTTAAGATTAAACGAGATTTATAAAGAAAGGAAGTTTTAAACCATTTACATGTGCATATAAAATCTAAATGTAATCCCTGCCTACACCTTACAAACTAAGGAGAGTG